TATCGTAGGTAACGAGGTCTAGGCGTACTAGTAGTCGCTAGAGAATAAGGATAGTAGAGTACTAGTAATAGGGCTTAATTAGAGTAGAGGGTAGTTTTTAAAGAGGTAATTAGGGCGTTAAGGGTATCTAAGGGAGGAGGGAATCTCTTTTAAGTTCTTTATACTAGCGGCTTTAAGCGTTAGGAGTTTCTAATAGGTTACGAGGGCCTTAATTATAGCACTTAAAAACTACTTTTAAAATATATTTTCTATTTTATAATTACTTGCTTCTATACCTAAAATATAACTCCTCCTTACTTTATACGTTCGTATAATTTGTCCCTATAAATATCCTACGATTTATATTACTATCGCTCTATATTAAAGAAATATACTACCCTAACCCTAATCCTATAGTTTTTAGCAAAGTTTTCGCTAAGGTTTATAACCTCTTACTACGCTAATTCCTTTCCCGTCTACCCTCTACCCTATTATACGCACATTCTATATAATAGGCCGCTCCCCTTCTATCCCCCCTAATCTTTATCTAAAAGTTATTAAACTCTAGAATAATAATACGAATATTACCGATATTTAAACCTTCCTCTATTTATAATAGCTATATACCTCCGAACGGACTATCCGTATAATTGTCGTAGAGAACGGTAGCGAACCCCGATAGTTATTAAAGAATAGTCTTTACGATAATCCCCTCCTTCGTATCCGAATAGCCGAACTCTTCTACCTCGAAGCTCTACTAGATACGTATATCGTAAACAAATTAAACGAGGAGGGATTTACGATTAAGTACTATACCTTTATACGGCTTCGGCGGAGTATAGGTATTAAGAAACGACTAAGAGAAGGAGAGTTCCTTAAGCGTTAAGAGGAATATAAAAAGATTATAAAGAAGGAGATTAATCGCTTAAACCTTAGAGTATATAGAACAACATTACTATAAACACACTTCCGTATAACCGATCGTACGCGGCTTGCGCTTAGTAGGTTAGTATATTTATACGATATATATCTATAAGGTAGAAAGGGGTTTACTAATATGCTACTACATCGTAGGAAGCGACTATACGAGATAGCCCGCGAGGTCTATCCCGCTAGCYCGTATAATAGGGCTACGAAGTTTATACGTYGMCGTAGGAAGTATATTACGCCTAGCCCTAATATAGTCTAGAGTATAGATGCATACTATAAACTTAAGGACTATAGCTTTTAGATCTATGCTACTATTAATGCAGACACACGGTTTATTCTATATACCTATCTTAGACCCTCTGCCCGTATAATAGTATCTATGCTATCTAACTTTGCGAAAGCTTATAAAAAGCTTACGAGAGTACCTCGTATTATTCGGACAGATAAGGGTAAAGAGACACTCCTTATAGCGTAGGCTTAATACTAACACGTAAGGATTATTCGTAGGCGTAAAGTACGCTTTCGCCGCTACTTTATGTTTAGAACAAGCACTACTAATGTCCGTATCGAGGCATAGTAGGGCTAGCTTATACGAGGAAGGTTTAAGGCATAGTATATAAGTACATAGAGCATATTATCTATATATGCTTTAGCAACGCTCCCGTTATATCCGAATCTAATTATACGGGTTAGGCTAATTAATCTTAATATTATAGGGCTTCTTTGCAATATTAAAGAAGAAGGGGTAGTTTTATAAAGCAAAGAAGGCTAACCGCATTATTATAAAGTATATCTATATACCTATTATATAGAAAGAACTAGCCTCGTTCGTATATATATAGAACAAGCACCCCGTACGAAGACAATCTAATAGACCGCACGTAAGGGGTAGTATACTAAGCTATCGCTATAACTAGGTAGAGAAGGAGGGAAGGCTAAGTATTAGGTATCTAATCGATAAGGCCTACTTTAATAGTCTTATAGAAGCTTACGTAAAGTAGGGTACGTTTATACTAGCGAACGCATATAATAGATCTTAAATTATTTGCTAATATATACAGATTCTAAGGAGTATATTCTATAGGAGATACTTAAGCTCTGCTTAAGTATTCTAAAGATAAAGGGCTTTCCGCTCGGTCGACTAAGCTCGTATAAGTTTATACTAAGCGTATAAAAGCTATAGTACTAGATCGTATACGAGAACCTCGTAGAAGAGCTACGTAARGTTCCTAAGGATATACTATATAAGATATTAATTCCCCGCGGCGGTAGGAAGTAGGAAGGATTTTAGGTCGACTCGGAAGACATTATATAGGCGTTTCGCGATTAGTGCGATAATAACCGCTCGCGTAAAGAGCTTTAGGAGGTACTAGAGGGTTTAATTAATAGAGAGCTTTTAAAAGAGGATAACTCGGAAAGTAGTAATAGCGATATATCGGAGGTTAATTATTAGTCGGATAAGTCGAAATAGATTATCGGTATAATAGGATTACGTTGCGTTCTAATGCTCTAATAGGACTATATACACCGGGGATATATAGCTAATATGCTTCTATCCCTACTAGTATTAGCGGCCCTAGCTACAATCTCTATAAGAACTCTATAATAACTATATAATAAATTTATGCGCCTATATATCTATATAATACTTATTAAGTAGCGTACGCTCTATCCCCTATCTTTACGTAGTTATATCTATAAAGTAATAAAGGGTTACCCCTTTACTAAAATCCTCCTCTAACCCCCTTCCTATAGACGATATTCCTTCCTTTATACGAACGTATACGATGCTATATCTACGAGTCCGCTTTATACCGATAGGTTCTAAGAAGTAAGTAAAGAAAGTATAGAAGCGTATATACCCTACTCGGCCCTAATTCGACTATATAAAGTATATATTAGATAATAAGAAATGTTACTTCTACGGCAATTATAACCTAATACCGCCGGCACCTTCGAATAAACCGATTATACGGGCGATACTAATACCGCTACGGACGAATACGCTATCCTTAAGCACTATACTAATTATTATTAACTCTAATAAAAGCGAGATATTAGACGACGAGGTTCTTAACGGATATATTAGTAGGAGCCTCCTAGATAAAGCGTAGCTTACTAGTATAAAGGCAACCTATATACGATAGATTAAGATCGAAAAGGAAGCGGTAATAAATCTACCGAAGTATAAGTACTATATAGGTAATCTACCCCCTAGCTAACGGTCGAAGGATAGTATTATAAAGGCTATCTCTATAATAGTAACCGTATAAGTTAGATTTATTATTACTATTATTATTACGAGATACTATATTACCCTAGATAATCTAGATAAGATACTAAAGTAGAGCAGGTTAAAGAAAGGTAAGGGGTTCTCTAAGTATACTATATATATTATATACTATTATTATATTTGTCTATACCGCCGTATAATTAATCGCTAATAGAATGTAGGAACGCCTAAGGACATCGCGGTACCGGATTATAATATTAAAGACATAGTAGCTACTATTCGTAGCTTCGGTAATAAACCGTATATTACTAAGGAGATAGAACATCCGGATAATACCTATATATACATTACGTAGTCGTATAATAACCGAGATAGGCCTATTTAACCTCTAGATATAGACTTTAAAGATAGGAAGCTAAGTCGTATCTTCCTAAACGATATTAATATAAAGGGCTAGCTATCTCGAAAGYAATATAAGGTGTTCCTTATCTTTAAGAGACGTTCTATATCGTAGCCTACGGATAACCTATTATACGAGGCCGAGGTTAACGCAAATCTTACTAAAGCTACTATTACTCTAAAGAGTAAGGGCTCTTAGAAGAAGAAGAAGAAGGTAAAGTAAGAAGTTAAGGTAAAGTTAAAGCTAGTAGTTAAAGTAGAGCCGACCTTAGAAGTATATATATTATCTTTCCGTATAAACGTTAGTAGATAAAGTCTAATACTAAATTCGATAGGAGAGTAAAGAGCAGGTTAATACTACTATAGAGTATAACGCTACCGATAATAGTAACGACGAGTCGCTACCTTCGTTTAGTAAGATATTTATACGTTTCTAGCCTATATAATCGTAAAGATAGCTACTTACTCGATTATAGATTAAGGGAGAGCTAGAAATTAARGGAGAGCTAGGAACCGAGGAAGTAGAGTAATAATATCCTACCCTAGGAGGTTTAAGCTATAAGCGAACGATCTCGAAGGTTTCGTAATTATCTAAGAACACGAGTAAACTACCTATAAATTATACGCGTAATCGGTCGAAGCGTTATTAATCTAAAAGGTTGCGATAAGAATAAAGATAGTAAGTACTTCGTAAGTTTAAAGAGGAGTTATTTTTAGTAGTTTTGTTCGTTCCTTTAATAGATATTTATATAGTACTACTTTAATAGTCGTAAACGCATTATACGGGCGTATATCTACTTCTTAATCTATCTACTATATAAAGGGAGTGCCTAATATATAGTTATAGATATAGGCTTTAGACAACTTTACTTCTACGATTAATCTATCGATTAGGACTATATCTACATATTAGATAAAGAGGCTATATCGGAAGCGCCCGTATAATAACTAAAAATCACCRCTAACCTCTCGGARCGGTTATGTTCCGAGGTAGCGTAAGTAGTGTACCTTAGTTCTACTAAAAAAAGATTGTTGCAGAGTTGTCGCTAAAAGCGCACCGTACTCTCCGGCTAGAATAGAACCTAATCTGCATTCGCATTCGCCTGCCAAGCAAGCAAGCTTTGGGACAACCTCACCTCATCATCACGTCTCCCGAGATTCTCTTCGCCAGATCCTTCCCTTGGGCGCGGCTGTTCCGAAGCCGAACAACTGTATTCCGTCCCAACCTTCAGCAGGAATCCGTCAAGTCTCGCTACGCTCGAACTGCCTCCTGCCCCTGCCTCTGCCCAAAGGAGTAGCCAGTAGCCAGCCAGCCAGCCAATCATTGGCTCCGCAATTACAAAATACGGTCTCGAACTGTGACATAAGCCTGATTGCCTTCTCCACGACCTTCAGCTTCGAGCTCATCTTCAGCAACACCGAAAGGTCCCTGCCATCCCGGACTATCCCTCTCGCAGCCATGGGTTTCGATCTGTATGCATCCGTAAAGGATGTTCGTCTGATGAATGCGCGCGGCTGGGGCATTGACCCGCTCGGAGTGGCCGCAATCATCGGTCTTGTGACCGTCTTCATTATGTTCTTTATCAAACATCAGAAAGAAAACGTCAACAACTGGCAACCTGGAGACGGAGTGGTCCACAACTCGAATGCTCCTCCAATACCTCCTCCTGATGAGGTCGTCTCTCTTCGAATCTATCCCATCAAGTCCTGTCGAGGGTTGGAGGTCGACACCACTCGTTTGATGAAAACAGGCCTCTCGCTCGATCGTAACTGGATGTTCATTGGAAGCAAGGATCGGAAGTTTCTCACAATTCGCAGCGATCCCAGAATGACGCTGATTGACACCAAAATAATCGAAAACGAGCAGGGCGAGCAGATGCTTGAAGTCAGTATCAGCGGAACGGATGACAAGATCGCAATCCCAGCATTTCCCTCACAGAAGTGGCTCAAGGAGAATACCACGCTGGGCACCGTTGAGATCTGGGAAGCCGACACGGATGCATGGGAGTACAGCGCAGAGATCAATCAAATCTTTTGCAAGTTCTTCGACAAGGAAGTCGCATTGGTTTACAAAGGACCAACGGATCGTATGGTGGCTGTGAATGGCAAGAAAGAACTCTATGGATCCGCAACTCCGCACAAATTCGCCGACGTCATGAGTCTACAAATCGCCAGTGAAGCCTCGATTAAAGATTTGAATCGCAGGCTTGGTCACGAGGAAGGCTCGACAGATGCACTCACGATCGAACGCTTCAGACCCAACATCATCATTCGCGGTCGAGAGGATCACCCGTGGGAGGAGGACACCTGGAAGCGAATCCGAATCACCACCATGCTGCGCAATGAAGAAGCGCTTTACAAGATTGATCTTGATGTTGTCGCGCGCTGTGCGAGATGCCAAGTTCCCAACGTCAACCCCGACACCGCCGAAAAGCACGCCAAGCAGCCGTGGGATACCCTGATGAAGTTCAGGCGCGTGGATCATGGCGGAGCTGCGAAGTGGAAGCCGTGCTTTGGAATGTTGGCCATCCCCAAAAACGAGGGCAAGGTTGCAGTGGGAGCAAAACTCACCGTTCTTGAGACTACAGACAAGCACTTGTACGCTGAACGCGGTTTCTCTGACCTTTGATCACGTTGCTTGCGGGGCCAATTTTTGGAGGTTTGATTGAATGTGAGCGTTTGTACAAATTCAGTCCGTCTTTGTTCACTGCACTCGATTCAGCTTACACTGCGTCCGTCGTCTTCTATCGTAACATAATGAACACATGTGTAAGACGAGACGATACGTGCGATTAAAGTGCAGGCATATGACCATGCACGCTGGCATGCAAGGAAAAGCCCGCCCCAGTGAGTTYATATTGAATGATGAGCTCGASTACCTCAAGTGCGGTAGTTTATCGAAGCGCGAACAAACAAGACCTTCGTGCTGTAGGCGCTCGCCATTGTCTTCGATGATGATAAAAGCAGCTTGGTCAATCCCTAGTGAAAAGACACTGATGTAACAACGCCGTTGATGCAATGTCAGTGTGTTGTCGATACAAGAGCCAAAGAGAGTAAAAGTCAAGACTGGTTCATGAATGTTCATTAAGCTAAGGAAATAAAACCTGTCCGCATCGCCCCCGTTAACGCCTGATCCAACCCACCCGTTGAGGAAAGATACGCCGACCGATCACTTATGTTATAATCAGATCTGTGGTTTGCTCGCAAAGCCTTCTAGCCGCGCCAGCCAGAAGCGACCGTCTCGGAATCAGAAGCGTCGAGGATGTCGTACTCCTCGTCTGTCAAGAAGCCATCGTCGCTCTCATCACCGCTCGCGCTCAAGACTTCCAATTCATCTTCGAGATCGACAAAGTCATGATCCTCGTCAGCGTCGGACGAGGCCGAAGGCGCTGGATGGACAGTCGCGGCAGGAATAGCTGCACTCTCAACTTCGCCATCCTCGTTCTCAACGTAAGCGGCCTTGGCCTTGCTCGAGCCGCTGGTGGCAGAGCCGTACAGACTGCTTGCCGGACTCTCCTTGTCGAGCTTTGGGAAGACCATCTGGCTGTCGGAGAGACCCTCCTCCTCCGCATGCTCCGGCTGCTGCTGCACATCATTTTGAGCATTCTTCAGTACCTCACCAACAATCTTCTGGACCTTGTCATCATTGGTGATCTTCTTGTCATCAACAGACTTCTCGACCTGCTTATTGGACTCGCGTCGCGCAAGTTCCTCGGTCAGCTTCTCGCGCTCCTCGCGTGTCTTGAGAATGTTCGCCTTGATGTGGGCCACTCGCTGCTTGAGTGCCTCGCGACGCATCTTCTCAGCATCAGGAGAGCTTCTGCTGCCCGTCTGGTGGATGTTCTGCATTGCCGTTGGCATAGGGTTCTGGGCCAGCATCTGCTCGTGACGCTGCTTCTGCTGGTCGCGCATGACGGCTAAGCGAGCAGACAAGTTCATGCTATCATAGGACGGTGGCTGCTCAGATGGACGCGGAGCTTCGAACGGCTGATAGATCGGCGGCTGGGAACTGCCCACCACTGGCGTTGGCATCGTTGAGGTTGGAGAGTCGTTGATCGGTAGCTGAGGGTTCGAACGCATTTCGCGRGCTTGTTGATGGGCGGCAATTGCCTTCTGCTGTTTCGCAACGTGCTCGGATCGTGCGCGGGCCATCGTCTGCTGCAGGCGTTCCCGCTGCAACTGAGCCGTCTGAGCCTGCAACTGAGCCTGCTGAGCCTGCAACTGAGCATGCTTAGCCTGCTGGGCCTGCATTGCCTGCAATTGAGCTGCCTGCTGCGACTGGAATAGTGAGCTGGTGTTGGAGCTGGGGATAGGCGCTGGACGGGCGCAAGTGGCGAGCACAGGCTGCTGGTTGAGCTGCTGCTCCTTCTTGACTTCGATGTCGCACCACAGACGGTGACCGAACGGAGTGCCATCAGCAGCTTTTAGACGCCAGTAGCTGATTGACTTGCCCTCGCGAACGGGCGCCTTGAGCACGACCTTGAAAGCCACAACTTCACCGACCTGCACTTCTCGACCAACAACGTTGCTCTCGGTGGCATCGGCGATAGCTGCGACGGAGACAGGGTGGCTGTTGTCGACGTTCAACATGTTGTCTCCGCCCACGTAGCGAACGCTGCAGCCCGATGGCCATGCGTGAGGACCTGGATTGGTGAGAAACCAAGTCTGAGCGAAACGGGTATCTGGCTGGACTTTCATGCCGTCGGGAATGCTGTCACGGACGAAGTGAGCGTTGAGAGCGCTGGCATCTGGCATAACTGTCTTCTCAACAAACTTCTTGACAGGAACTAAGACGGGCATAGTCTCCTTTTTTACTTCAGTAGGCATGATCTCAGCTACAGTCTGCACTTCGGTAGCTGCGTTGGTTTGTGGACACGATGTGGCCGCAGCAGTGGTGCCGGTCTGCTGAGACTGAGCCGAGCAGTGACCTGGATTACTGTTAGCAACCGTGGTATTCGAAATAACGAGTCAAAAGCTCACGATCGCCTAGCACCTTGACGTTGCCGCGGACGTCCTCGTTTTCGGTCATCACGTTCACATTGCGAACTGGGGTCTTGAACTTGATCAGAGGGTGGGTGCGGTTGTGGTGGTTGCCTGGAAGAGCCTCGCAGGACGCGCAAAAGTCGGTATCACTGCAAATGGTGCACTTGTAGCGCACTCCATGGATGTAGGACTGCTCGCGTTTGTTGCKGCAGAGCGGACCATCGCAATAGATGCCAAAGTGGCGAACAGCAGCGCCAGCGGGTTGGTCGCCAACGGGCTCATAAAGTGCTGCAAAACGATGGCGTGGGTGAGTGCGGTTGGCGCCCTTAACGCAGTCGCCGCAGTAGTCTGGTGCAGTATTGTTAGCGGCGTGACATGTCTAGAGGTGTGTTCAAAAACATACCCCAATCCGGGCAGGCGAGGCACTTGTGACGCACGCCACGAATCGGCTTGTCGCAGCCGTCGCAGACAGCGCTGTGACGAACGTTGCGACCCGCGACCAGCTTCGCCTCGCACATAGCTGGAAGAACAGTCTCCGAAGTGGCAGGCTCGAAGCCGTGCGCAGGGTGGTGGCCGTGGCTGTCGGCACCGATGCACTTGATGCACAAGTCGTAATCGTCGCAGGTAGAGCAGGTTACAAACTCATGCTCCGGTAGAACCACAACACAGCCGTTGCAGGTGCGAGTCGCCACGCGCGACTCCTCAGCCATGCCCTTAGACTGCTCGAGGGTCGTGAAGGTGCCCGGCATGTCATTCTTGACGGCCTCCTCGATCAGACATGGGATCAGCGGCAGAGCAGCAGTCTTGCGTGGGAGGACATGCTCGGTCTCACTGGGAACGACTTCGCCGTTCTTGATAAAGCGCTTGATAAGCCAATGGCCCTCTCCTGGACAGTGTTTGCTGTTATCAACACACTCCTTGCAGAGGTCGTAGTCGCCACCGTCACAAATCGAGCAGTGGAAGTGCACATCGTCCATAGCCTTGTCGCACTCATTGCAGTACACGGACCAGGCGCGGCCGAGTTTGGCGTTTGGCTCAACGATCTCGCGAGTGCGAAATGCGAGAGGCTGTGCTGCGGCCTCGGCGAGTTTGTCGAAGAAGTTTGCCGGGCTGTCAACGAAAGGACGTGGCACGGGAGCTTCGTCATTGAGGTTGATCAACGTCTGTTGGGAGGCGCGSTCGCGGGACTCGCGAAATTGAAAGATTCCGCTGCCGATAGAGCGCTGATCGAAAGCGGTGGACTCACGAGCCTGTATGACGTGTGAGCGGGCTGGACAACAGTCCACGATTGATGGCGATGTACGCACGATTGGCTTAGTTGCACGCGCAGGCACCTCCTCACTCGACTCCACGCTGGCCTCCGAGGTCACCGTGGCCTTCAACCGAAGCTTGCCCTTTGCTTTTGCTGCCCGGATGAGCGTCTTGAACACCTGTGGGTTGCTTTCATTGAGGGTGACGTAGCCGCCAGTGCTGTCGCTGTATCTCTCCAAGACCATGAGCTGCTCTGGCTTGATGTCGAGGACCTGGCGAAGCTGCTCGAGTGGATTAGCGTATGATCAGATCTGAGGGAAGAGCCGATGCGGCAGTGACGGAGCACTGTCACGTTCCGCATGGCATGCACAAGCTTATCACTGACCTTGCCGGGTAGGCTGGCGACACCGAGATCGCGCAGTGGCAACTTGAGCTTCTTGGGAGTGTCGTTAACTGCGATTTTGATGACAATGGGCGTATCTGGCGTGACTGGAGCTGGAGTCGCCATGTTGGTCGATGTTGTAGGTGTTGCTGCTGGAAGATGCAGCTGTTTCGTATCGGTCAGGCGGGCGGTGACGCCACAAGCTTGCTGCGTCGGCGGCGTGGCTCGAGAAGGTGCTGAGCTTCACCGAGATAGGAACGGTGAGGTGAGGCGATGGAGGAACAGAGATCGGTGATGGATCTGCTCTGATCAGAACCGAGAAATGTARTCGGCAGAGGGTGGAGAAGTAGAGGAGAGATGAGCACAAGGCAGCAAAGGTGATGATGGAACCCGTGATGCGTGCTCTGGTTGTTCGGAGGTGTGGGGTAAAACCCTAATTATTCCAGATAACGCTAGCGGTAGATCGAACTGCAGAAGGCGACCACATCACAGCAACCGACAATCAAATATTTGTGGTCACACCATCACACACGATCATAACATCGACGCCAAGATGCTGAAGATATGGAGTATGAAGCAGAAGCAGCAGAAGGAGGATGCTGCTTCCGGACAGAGCAAGAAGAAGAAGGTCACAGCGGTATGCATGAAACCATAAAAGGTGCACCGTATGAAGCGATTGATGGCACATGCTGATTCGTTTACAGGCACAACTACGAATTCAGAAAGGTAGAAGGGCTTCCTTCATAAATCAAGCCGAGACCACAGCAAGCTAACTTCATTTGCTCGTCCAGATCTCTCTGAACTCTCTCTGGGCTCCACGATGAAGCTGCACTTCGTTGATCCCGACGATATTCTCAACTTCACGCTCATACTCACACCGGACGAGGGTCTCTACAAKGGTGGAGTATTCAACTTCTCCTTCGTCATCTCGCAGAACTTTCCACACGAGCCGCCAAAGGTCAAGTGCAAAGAGAAGATCTATCACCCAAACATCGATCTCGAGGGCAACGTCTGCCTCAACATTTTGCGTGAGGACTGGAAGCCAGTGCTCAACCTCAACGCTGTCATCGTCGGTCTTCAGTTCCTATTTCTCGAGCCCAATGCCAGTGATCCGCTCAACAAGGATGCCGCCAACGACCTCATGAGCGATCGCGATCGCTTCAAGCGGAATGTACGGAGTGCGATGGCTGGTGGCGCAGTGAAGGGAGAAAGCTTTGATCGGGTCATGAAGTAGAATTGGACACCAGCAGTGCGGTTGGAGAGCACGAGGCGTGACGAGCCCTATCGATGCGGAGGGAGCGCGCTACATATAAAGGCCCAGCTCTCGGGGCAGTTAGTCCACTCCATCTCGGGTCGGACGCGGACTAGAGGGTTACAAATTCGTAAGGAGTGAAAATGACGGAGGCGGGAATGATACCCATGAGATACCAGACAAGTCTTTGCATGCGCACATCACGGACACCTTGTTGCTTTTCAGTGGTTGTCTGAGCGCAGCGTGTATTTATGCACATGGTGCGATCTAAGCGTTCCACTGGAAACACGAAAGAATTCGTGCTTATTGAAAGCTCACCAAGAGCGATGCGAGCTAGCATATGCGAATTATTATGCTTTGACGACTCTCCTGCACGACGTTCACAGCATTCATTCAAACCGTAGAGCGATGGTGTTTCTGCGGGTGTGGCCAAAACATCTTTTTGCTCACAACCACAGGCTGAGGAAACCCGCCCTGAGGGAGAAATTGCGATCGCAGCAATTGAAGGTGAGGTAATGGACTTTAAGCCACATTCTTCGAAATACATACAATAGCCTGCGCCCAGGATGGACCAGATCTTGCACCGAACGCCAGAATTTGCTCTCACTCAAACGCCTTGCTTGCTTGCTTAAGGGAGAGTCTGTCCCAAGTTGGGCAGAGAGATGCTAGATTCAGGATTCAGGAAACAGCGATCGTTCAACAGACAAGAGCATTCAGAAGATCGTGCATCGCAATGCCAATATTTTGGCCATCTCGAGTTTTTCAATCGCCAAAAAAGCACCAAAGCTGCGATGCCGCCACTATTTACTGCTGCTGAGAAGATCCTGGGTAGTAACCGGCCTGTATCGGCGCTTGCGAGGGGTAGTAATAGCTTGCCTCGGGTGCTGGTGTAGGCGGCGGCAGACCAGGCATGGCGTAAGCAGGGACAAAGCTCTCCGCAGGTTGATAACTCTCGCCATGAGCTTGCTGTGGGGCTTCAGAGGCCGGCAGGTAAAAAACCATACCATTGCTCTCGCGTGCTACCATACCTTGACCCGTGTGTTGCGACTCTGCTTCGGCAGTCTGCAATGGCGTCGCTTGGGATGGCACTTGTTGGGTAGGCAATGCAGGCGCAGGCGGCGATACCATGTAGCCCTGCGGAGTTGGAGCATACATGGGCATTGGCTGATATGCCCCTGGCCCCTGCGGGTAGTAGTACTGCGGAGGTGGAGGAGCGTAGGACGCGTAGTAGGGAGCGTTCCCGTATGCCATCGCTGGAGGCTGGAAAGCAGCAGCGTGAATCGCCTGTTCTGGGATGCCTGAGAGTGGGGTCGCCGATTGAGGTGGCTGTGCGTAAGAATATTGCTGCCTGGGAGAATACATCATTGACGAGGGCTGGCTGAGACTCATCTGCTCGTTCATGTGTGCAGGCAGCTGGTTTTGGAACGGCTTTGCGTCTTGAGGCCCAGGGGCTTGCTGCAGCGCTGCAGGCGATTCAATGCCAGTGACAGATATTGTCTTTTGCGGTCTCGGTTGATGCACCGTAGTAGTAGGTATGCCCTGATATGTAGGTTGTTGTGGTAATGGAAATGTGTGCATTTGCATTCCGTTTGCAGCGTGATATCCTGGTTGGAATCCCATTGGACTTGAAGTCGGAAGGTGCGACTGTGAGCCAGGTGGTGGCATTCTAATGTTTGATCTCGATGGGGGCAAGTTACCTCCATAAGACCCAACGGGTGAAAACGCGTTATCCCGTGACACGCTTGCAAACGATGAACGGCGACTTGCAGCGACGCTGGCGGCGTACATGCTCCCACCATACATGCTCGTTCTGCGGCTCGAATACCCATAGCCACCCACACTCCGCTGGTAAGCATTTCGGCCGAACCCTTGCTGGTTCGGTCGCATCTGCCTGGGTATAAAGATGAAAGATCGCTCCACTGCAGGGAAGATGTACCGTTGAGGGTGCCCGGGCAACGACRCGCGCACCGGCTTGTCTCGACGGAGCGGTGGGCGATGATCGGGAAGACGAATGTAATGCTTCCACGGCACTTCCGAAAATGCAATGGGGGCCTTCATGCCTTCTAGAGAAACGCGTATTTGAACTTTGCCGACGAGTTTCGTGCTCGAAAAGGAGACGGCTTGTTGTTGATTCTGCTGATTTTGACCAGTGAACCTGGGAAATAGCCTGGCCGGTTGATCACGAGCATGATAACCAGCAGGCTTCGCCGACTCCTCATTGATGGTGTCGTGTAGGTCATGCTTCCAGGGTTGCTCGGCGGCTTTCTCGTTCTGCGCGAGCGGTGGCGCTGGCGGGTAGAATCCACCAGCAGCACTTCCACCTCTCCCACGACCCCTCCCGCCCCATGCACCTCTTCCAGGTGCACTGCCCGGCCCGTGGTTCGAGCGTGTATCGTGCATGAAGAAATTACCACGATTTGGGATGAACGCCGGATCATTGTTACGTTTCCGTCTGTAGTCCTCGTGCTCCTGCCTCTGCCGATAGCCAGACGGTTCGGCATGTCCATTGGCCGGCCGACTTGGGAGCGCAGCCGCTACTGAGCCACGACGGCTCACACTTTCAAAGTCATCGGGTTCTTGCGCTGCTTGGTCGCCGATGTTGAGGCCGTGTATCATGGCTTGTGTATCGTCCGTAACTCTAAAAGCACCCGTTTGGGAGTGCGCTGGCGCAGAAGACCCAGCGGCCGACTCTGTCTGCTTCTTCCGTCCGCTGTGCCGCTTAGACCTCTTTGAACTGCCCGCCGACTTCTCCACCTCCGCGGTAACCTCCGGTCGCGCATCCTCTTGATGGGGTGCACCGTCCGCCGTGGCCGCGCCGATGCTGCTCTCTTCATCGTCGTCCAGGGCGCTCAGTATCGAACCCTCGCTCTGCGAATTCTCTCCCATTTCCGGACCATCATCCTCCTCGCCCTCCTCATCGGCGCGACGCCGCCGGCCTGCCAGCGCCTTGTGGGTTCGTCCGGCTGCCATGTTCTGTTGCCGTGAAAGCACGTGTGCTCCAAGAAATTAAGTAGGAACCAGGCGGAGAATTACACGCGCCGACAGGAAGAGCTCCTCTTACTGAAGCGTGACGAACGTCGGACAGCACGCAGAGAGCATCATCTCTCAAGCAGAACTGTCGGCGTGATGAAAATAAATGGAGGCAAAACAATAAGGTAGGCAGTGTCAAGTCGCTACAATGCGCTACAAGGAAGCAGTGATGTACCTACGTCGGAGTTGGAAGAGCTCGGGCCACGCCCCGTTCGTCTCAGACGAGATTTGGGGATGATGCCATATGTAATACAGAGTACATATCTATAGTGATAGAAATAATGTCGAGTCGCATGTGAGAACTGTTGCATTACATTGAAATGCGATTATTAATCTACTGTTCTTTGCCCAACTTCGCCAATTCCTGAACGAAGCTGTCTGCGTTGACAAGTTCCGTGCTGCCATAGACCACTCGCTTTCTGCCAACTGCAGCGGCAGCGCCACCGGCGCCAGTCGTACGCTTGGCCCAGTCCTGAAGGTTGCCGTATTCATCCATACTGCCACCACCAACTGTAAATACAATCGCCTCGCTGAATCCTTGCCTACGCTGCCCGAACGATGGATCAATGCCTCGCATCTGCTGAGTGCCTGATCGCGCGTCCTTGGCTGATGGAGGCATGGTGCCACGCGCATTCGCTGAGCGAGGATCAAAATAAAGAAAGTTCTCCGTCTTCTGCAGCGCACTTGTGGATGCATTTGCAGGATCCATAAGACTTTCCGTGATCTTCGTTAGCGTCAGATCCTTGTTGGCGGGCAGAAAGTTCTTCACGCCGGAGATGAGGTTGTCAAAGTTTGCTCCAAGACCTGCATCCTTGAACCTATCCGTCAGCCGTGACGAAATAGAGCTGAAGCCGCGGAAGAGCTCGTTCGATGCTGACGACTGCTGAGCTTGCTGGGTCGGTGCAGATGATATCATGGTCATTCGTGTAATCCCGCGGACTTGTTGGATATACTTGAGAGGAAGAGTGTCAACGCCAATCTTCTTGAGGGCGTCTTCAAATTGCTCTGTTTCGCCACGAGACAAATCAGTCTCAGTGCTCAAGAACCAGATGATGAAGATTYGAAGCTTGTCTGTTGGCTCATTGCCCTTATCGGGGTCATTGATGAGCTCCATCATCTGCGCCTTGGTCTGCTTTTTAATGTCTTCTTCCAACTGGAAAAAGTTGTCCAGCTGCCGATCTTTGATTCCCTTGAGCAGCGCGGTCGCGATGTTCATATGCATGTCGAGCAGCGATTTGCGCTCACGAAGTTCCGGTAGGAGAGTAATGGCGGCTTTGAGATGCTGGGCCGAAGCACTCGTGTCGTTTTGAAGATCCTCAATCGAACTTGTGCCGGTCTTCTTGGTTATGTCCGCCGCGTCATCCTTATACCTGGTCAATTCGGTGTCAATGTCCTCCGCTACTTGGGGGAAGGGAACACCAGCGTTCTTGTTCCAGAAAAAGTCGTTCGAATTGAGATCATACGACTTCTTCACGCTTCCTTTGGTAGGATTAGACTCGTCAGCCGGGGTCTCTACCGTGATCCGGTTGAGTTGCATGCTCAGTACGTCGTGTATCAACGACTGATACGTCCACGAGTGTGAGAGCATTGGCACCAGATCCACGTTACGGTCGACAATGATCAGCACGGGCCGTGATGAAGCACTCCCTGTCGATGTCAACTTTCCAGAAAACAGATTGTCTTTGGCGTTCAAGATATGGTCACGCAGCTTGCGATCAAGCTTCGCTGCAATCATTTCGGCGGCACCACCTTTTGGGCATCGGATGATGGGAACAGTACCTTGCTGGACGTTAGCAGACATGTTTCATGATATTGTATGACTCCACGCACCCATCGTCACCGCCACGCTGAACAGGCCGCTCACGATCCGGTCAACATTGAAGTCGAGGTCCTCATCGCTGGTCTGTGCACTGTTCATCTTCCARTATGTCTCCTTGCCCATTCCCAGGCTGAACAGGTTGGGTTCGCTGACAATGAAGTTCAAGTACTGGTCGAAGATCTGACTTATGCTCTCTGCGGTGCCTGCTTGAGCAGTTTGTGTTGCAAAGTCTTCGAGAAGAGGTCGCGAGATGGACGACAGAAAGTTGATGTACGCCGGGGAGTACAGGCCCTTTTGCAGGTCTTGTGTGATGTGCTGCAGGTTCTCCGCTGTAGGCTCGACGAGGTAGAGGACTGGAACGTCCGGTATTGCGTGCCTTTGGCCATTGATGTTTCTGACACGGAGCGGTCAGCGCTCGCTGTGCGAGACTCAGCATCGACTGCTATTGTGGTTACTGCTGAACGTACAGGTGTATTGTGATGCCCCAGCTCCTCAAATCGTTCACGCGCAGCACGCTACTGATCACGTCCCTCCCAAGGTTGTCAAACACCAGCACCTTCCATATAGGCTCACCCTCGGAGTTCAAGATGGGCGTCGACTTGGTGATCAGGCCGTTGGAAGGAGTGCCATCGTTGGCAAGGTCGGATGTGTCTGGCGGCACATGGTTCAGGTTGAGGATGCGCTCGATTGATGCTGGGCCGGGGTCAGTCGCGGGTGGTGGACGTGGGCGGCATTTTTATGCAATACAGACCTACTTGGCGATCTCGAAGGGATTGGTAGGTCGACATGTTCGTTGACCTTGAGAGCGCATGAGCAGCTTACTCCAGAGGCGTGGCTTTTGTTTATAGCACATGCAAGTCCAGCATGACACGTATAATGCGCTCCGTCGTACGCGCGACTCGCTGCTGTAGCCGAAATGTTTCTTTGTATCGCTTCCAGGCTCCCTCTCGGTGGAAACGATGCCACCTGTGTAATTACCTGGAGGTATCGATGGACATGGGGACGGACCGGCCACGCTGAAAGGAGACTAGCGTCAAAATCGGCGCTGGCACCTCAAAGCTTTCCATCTCCCGCGCTCTCCTCCCTCTCTTCAACACCCACAAACACACTTCATCAGTCACCTTTAATGCGTTGCGTGATGAAACACTGACCTGAACTGCCCTGGAATTTCTGGCGTTTTAACTTCGTGTTGTTCGGCGGAGGTCAGGGTTGCATTTGTTCGACGCGAATTGCGACGAGAAGGTGGTCGCTTCTGTTCACTGTTCGCTGCCTCGTGCCCCAGCAGCAGCGTCCATTATCATCACATTCTCCATCAGCCTCGACATCTTAAGTCGTCGCCCGTCAGCCTCAGCCTGCCGCGCACTTGCTGGGCAGCGCAGCCCCGGTCGCTGAACTGCGCGAGCCGGCACTCGTKCGTGCAGTTGAACTGCCATTACACGGCGGCAAAGTATCATCAAATTTACACACAGCAGCGCGCGCGCCTCATCCGCGCTCTGCCTGCCTGCCAGCAGCTGGAACACCTCCAGACCCCGTGAGCTCTGACGCCCTCACCAATTCAAGCGCAAGCTCAATCCGGCAGAGCCCCGCTCAACACCAAACTCTTGGCACGGAGACCTCGCTTCAAGGTCTCCCAAGAACGTCGACATAATGGATCGCGGTAACGATGGCTTTCCCAACAATAATAATTTGTTTTCGGACAATAGCCAGCAGTACAATTATGACCACATGAACTTTGTAAATGGCAACGATCCCGCGTTCCCAAATGCCACCTGGCCAATTCCCGACTATCAGTCACGTGTCAATCCGCCAAGCTACGGCCTCCAGCAAAACGGCGGCCATCTCACATCCGTGAATGCACACACAAACTACAACGGACATGCATCACCTTATGGACAGCCTCCAAGCCACAGTCCAGCTCCGTTCAATCCAAACGCATTCAACAACTTCGGCGCCCAGCAAAACTTTCCGTATCGTCAAACTCCACAATACGACCCGGCCCTGCTACAGACTGGCAACCACCATGCATCGAACTTCGGCAACCCCGGCACTATTGCGCCGCAGGCACTTGAGCATGAAACATCTCCATATGGCAATCCTTATGCGGGACCCAACTTTGCTTCAACGAATTTCAGCAACCAGCCACGCCCTAGTAGGCCTGTTGTTGCGCCTCCTCCGCAGCAACATCCTGTCGATCAACGTGCACTCGCCGCGTCAGTCCCCCGTGGTGCCGATGCAGGCATGTTCAGTATCATCAAGTTTGACGATCTTGCCCGAGCGACCAAGTCGGAGCGAATGGGCAACTTCGTCAACGTCGGTAACGAGCCGCTTGAATGGGATTGCACGCGCAGTGCTGTTCCAGGCTACACTGCTCGAAAATCTCGAAACGAGTTGAGGACGCTCGCGGGTAACAACGCCAGCCTTCTGGCGAAGATCGGCAAGAAATCGACAAAGCACAGGTCCCTTTCTGCAACCTCAAAGGCAACCAAGGCGCCAGCTGCGAGCAGTTCCACCTTGGGTGCGCAGATCAAATATGAGCAGGATTCGTCAAGTGAAGAAGATTCATCAGACGATGATGATTCAGCCTACTCGGACGAAGACGATGCGGACTTCCCACTACCCGGCAACAGGCCGGAAGACTCCAAAGGTGCTGTTGAATACGATACGATCAAGGCTCTATGGCGCAGCAAGCGTAAAGCCATCGATGGCGCAATTGTCCGGCAGAGTCTGACCGAGTTCTGGGAAGTTGTCAAGACGGTTCGCGATCGTTGGAAGGCCGACATAGCTGCAGTCACGGAAGCAGAGAAGAAGCAACGTCTGGGCGAACTGCCATTACTGAAGAGCAGAGTCAAGGATCAACGAGACATGCTCGAGGCGGCATTTCGAGCTGCGCTCAAGCACGGTCATCGTGACATTATCGCATTGTGAGTACAACCCCCCTTTCCCAACCCCCCTTTCCCAACCCCCGACGTGAGATGTATCGATATCGAGGCGGATCAGTGGCAGTTCGAGCAATTCTGTGGCAATTGCTCCAAATGTGCTTGCATTCGCGTGTCTCTTGAAGTTGCTTTGGTCGTATTGCTACATTCGATGTTCTCTCTTGCTTTGCAACGTGCTGCTTGCGCACTTGGTGCAACTCCTGGTCGAGATCTCCAAATCTTGCGTTCTCTCGCTTGGTGACCATTTCGCCGGCATCAAAGCGGGCGTTGCGTGCTGCAAATTGAAATAGAGTACCGCATGCATTATTTACGATCATACATTGTTAAATCCCTGACGTTGAGCCCGCTCGATTAAACCGCATCAGCTGACATGGTCTCCGTTAGACTCGCGGAAAACGTGTCACTCGTCTTCGTCTGCTACCAGCTCCTGCTCGACCGCTTCAAGGAAGAGGAGCTCAACAGCGGGATAAGCAAAGCCATACTGGAGACCATGGTCAATTTTACCACACTCACTGAGGAGAAAGTCGAGAGAACACAGCTGTCCAAAATCCTTCCACGCTACCTCAAAAGGGGTGACGCCCGCGTGCAGTACTGGATCAAGAAGATTCTTGCGAACATCGCGCAGGCGACCAAGGAAGCGGCATCGAAAGGCGAGCAAAAGAAAGCAGAATCACCCACAACTCAACATCCGGCATCTCCCTCCACGAAACGTGTAGTTCCCGATCCAGTCATTGGTATCAAGCGAGCTGCCGCCACCCCCGGAGAAGGTAGCGCACTGAAGAAGACCGCCAACGGCTCAGGCAAGTCCAGCATCGTTGCTCCCAGTGCAAAGGTGAATGGTGTTTCAAAGAAACCAGCCCCCGCTCTTGAAACCAAGCCTGGTTCTGCTCCCGGAACAGTCGCCGCCGTGAGGAAGACTGTCACTGCAAAGCCATCTGGCTACTTTTCAAGCTTACAATCAGCTGCGAAGAAGCCGGGTACCTCGATCGCTGATCGAAATGTAACAACAACCAGCAAGACACCTGCTCCAAGTAGACCACTCAACAAACCGACTCCTACTGCCACTGCTCCGACCAAGCCGACATTCTCTTTCGCCGAAACAATGGCCAATCTTGCCAAACCGAAGGAGGAAAAGCCCTCCGCGAGGCCTCAACGAGAAGAAAAGCCCGAGTCTGAGGCAGAGCGCAAGCAACGGCTACACAAGGAGGCACGACGGAAGCTGCGGGTGCGGTTCGCAGAGCGCGACCAACTCGAACAGATCAGGATTTTCCAATCTGATCCCAACGAAGAGAACGGTCACGACTCCAGCCAGCTGCGCGATATGTCCGACATCGGTGGGGAGGGTCGTGTACTCAAACAGCATCGGGATATGATGGATATTGATGATGAGGACGAGACCACGGATGAGGTGGAGAAGCTCATAGATTGGTACTCGCCGWCTTCTGTGGACTTTAGTGTCGTTCCTGCTGATGAGCGTGCGCGCAACTATGTTCCGTACGGAGGCGGTAAACTGCAGCCTGACAGTCCAGAGCGAGTTGTGCGTGAGAACTATGAGAAGAATACTCTTCTAGTTTTTTATGCAGATTCGAGCGAGGTTCCGCCCAACCCACGCGAACCGCCCGATCCATTTAATGGCGAGCCCGGCGGCGAGATTAAGATGTTTGGTGCGCCTGAGGAAAAGTTTGCTGCTCGGGCTCGCATGATGAGAGCTTCGCAACTGGCGAAATCTTCGCACCGCGGCGGACAGCCAACCACAGCCCCTTTTAATGTGCCCGCATTTACTGGGCCTATCGCCAACCAGCAGCAGCATGTACAGCAGGGTGCGCCGGACATCCAGTCGATCCTCGCATCCCTCCAGGCCCAAGGAGGTTACAATCAGCCACAGCAAGCCAGCACTGCCTTCCAGCAACCATACATGAATGCACATTCGGCAAACAGCTTCCAGTCTGYGCCAMCAGCACCAGTCCAACCGCCACCGGCAGGTATTGACCTGGCTGCAATTCTCGCCGCGATCAACCCACAACAGCAAAATGGCTACAATGCTAGTGCAGCACCGGCCATGAGCTTTGCGCCCCAGCCACAGGCACAACAGCAACAGGCTCAGATGTTCGCGGGCTCCGGGACGAATTTCGCGCAGAATGATCCCGCGCAAAACCCGTTCTACAAGACCAAGGTGTGCAAATTCTTCTCAGAAGGACGCTGCACAAAAGGCGACAAGTGTAGCTACCTGCACGAGTGATCATCGGGATCTCTTAATTACAGCATGGCAGGGCGTTTCGGAGAAGTCGATTTCCAGGAGATCTCAAAGGCAGTGCGCCATGAGGTCCCTGTTGCCGAAGGTGTATCATGGGGTGTGCGCCACATGGGCGTATGCAGAGGAGCAGCATAGGTACTCGTCTCGTAACCAAGATCATTGTGCCTGTAGAAGGATCAAGTTAGTTCAGTCAACTCAATCTCTGATTCTCATGAAAAGTTCTCTTCGTGGATGTCGTCCACTTATGTTAGAGCATAACACTCGAGCTGGCAGATTTCAAAAAAATATACAGTCTATGTAAGGCAGGGCCGACCGTATCTGTAGCGTACCGTTACTTTGCCAGGACGTCTGGTCCTGCGTGAATTGTGTTGCAACTTCCGTCTTGCAACGGCGCAACTCCTTGCTGCCTTCTTCCCTCAACTTTCAACATTCAACACCGACACAGACATCAACATCGCCATCAACATCAGCATCAACATCGAAGCAGCATCAGCATCATTTAAATCACTCACACGTCAACATATCACCAGACGTCACTCCAGAGCAATAGCACACCGTATCGACAGAAGCACCTACTTCCAAGTACCTACACAATGGCATCCGTAGGACATGTCAGCGGTCTGCATCAGATCAAGCTTATCAAGAACACCAACTATGTTCGAGACGGYCGCAAGTCGCTAGGCCATCTCTTTCGGAAATGTGAGTCTTGACACAGAGACCCGATGATGAACGCCGGGTAGATTCTCTGACACTGACCAGATGARATCACCCCGACACTGCCCACGCCGTTCACCATCGTCCATGATCTAGTCGACGATGGAGCGAGCAAGTTCCTTAGTAGATTCAAGCCTGGTGTACACACCGGCCATGGACACACCGTAACACACATGGTCCGCCGTGACCCCTCAGGCAAGATTGGCGAAGTTCAAGCTGAAGACATCCAACAAGACGCCGAATACGTTGCATCCGTGAGGATTGGAACCCCGCTACAGCAATTCAACCTCATCTTCGACACAGGCTCGGCCGACCTCTAGGTATGGTCCACGAAGCTACCCAAGAAGATCACCGAACCGGGCCAGGCTGCTGCAGGTCACAATATCTTTGACCCATCCAAAAGCTCCACCTGGAAGGACACAGGATCCACCTGGCAGATTCGTTACGGCGACGGCTCGACTGCATCAGGTGTTGTCGGTACCGACATCGTCAACATTGGTGGAATCCAATTGTGCAACCAAGCCGTGGAACTCGCGAAGGCTCTTTCTCCGTCGTTCGTGGACGGCAAAGGCGATGGTCTCTGCGGGCTTGCTTTTGGAAGCATCAATACTGTCCAGCCTGCCCCTGTGAAAACGCCTGTGGAAAACATGGTCGAACAGAGCGATATTCCGAAGGATGCGGAGCTTTTCACTGCCTACTTGACCAACAGCAAGGACGGTGTCCCGCCGTGCTACACCTTTGGTTACATTGACCAAGACTTGGTCAACGGAGGAACGATCAACTATACCCCAGTCGACAGCAGCCAAGGCTTCTGGAGTGTCAAGTCGACGTCCACGTCAATCAACGGTCAGAACTATGCCCTTCCTGGCAACGCAGCTATTATGGACACCGGTACCACCCTTGCTCTGATCGACGATAATACTTGCAAGGCTATCTATGATGCTGTCCCTGGCGGCAGATATGATGCCAATCAAGGCGGATACCTGTTCCCATCTTCAGTCACCCCGGAGCAGCTTCCAACTGTCATGTTCGCAATCGGTGATACATTCTTGACTCTCCACAAGGAAGACATGAGTTTTGCGGACGCCGGAAACGGCATGGTCTTCGGCGGCATTCAGTCCCGTGGCAACATGAGCTTCAGTATCTACGGAGACACCGTGCTGAAGGCCATGTACGCCATTTTTGATCAGGTGAGCATATTGCATACACTGAGCCACTCTCCAATTACTGACAGTCGCCTCAACAGKGCAATCATCGATTTGGCTACGTCCAGAAGCTCGATGCGGCTTCCAGCACAGGTTCCACGGGTGAGGACAGTCCAGCTCAGTACAACACTGCTCGTCAGAATAAAGTGGCTCCAGCGACAGTGGCTCCTGCACAAGCTCCTCTGTCTGCTGGTGCGGCCACTAAGAAGCACTGGGATGTGCCATCTATGGGCCACATTTGAGGTCTTTCACTTGAGCCTACCTTTTGCGAGGATGACCTAGATGGAGGGTACCTAGCACACAGTGAGGAGCATGGTGGTATCTTCCTAGCAAACGCGGCTTTGTTCCTAGTTGATGGTCCTTATCCTACCTAACAACTTGTATTGCTCTTTGCGCTTGAGTCTCTCGCCGGCATTTCGAGTGTTCTGCGTTATTAGCGTTTCGCATGCAGTAATGAGCGAGTCTTCCTGCGGGCTTTCTGCAGGGTGTTATTCGGTTTGTCGATCCATAACTGGGTGATCCGAAGTCAGACGACGCTTCAAGATATCATTCACTTACAAAGACGCGGGCCGGGCCGAAGCCACGAGAATTGGTCTTGTGTGATCGCTCACCAAAGCCCAACCCTTGTTCTTGACTGATCGGTAGCCGAGGCTGCCAGTGGGCTTCGAAATTGGCCACTTTTGCCGGCTGGAAAGGCTACCGCAGCCGCTCTGCTGCCATTGATGTCCTACTACGCTTCCATATTCAATTCAGTCGCAATCCCAGCTGCATTATAAGCGGAGCGCACGTGGGATACGGCGGCCAACATCTRGATGATTGGGTCCCTGTAATCTCAGGGGATGCACCAGACAGTAGGTATATTCTTCTATGTCCAGCCTGTCTTTCCCAGTGTTCTGCGTTCTCAATTCTGGACAATTATACTCAATGGCTGATATCACTGCTTGCAAAATTTGCATATGGCGAGTTTGATCATGGCTGGGCGGTTGATGTCGGATGCTTCCTGGCAGCTCGGTGCACAGCACAGCTCCCGGGATGCTCGCTCAGACCCAAAACGACAACGATTGAGACAAGCTTCTCGAGCATGAGCGGCTCTACACACTCACCATGCAACGCAGAATATTGACATGACGCTGGGGTTGATAATTCGATTTTGTACGCCAGTTGCTCCCAGCATACGAGTTCAACGATGGCGGCTGTAGCGGTCAGAGGTCAGGAGTCACCACCCCAACCCTAACCCTAAAGATCAAACAAGATCTACCCTATTGCCTAACGCCGCGCGGCGCAGCGTCGTCGGTCATCTAGTCAGGTAGAGCTCCCTTCTGAATCGAACCTACCTTACACATCCGCCCTTCAACCACGACAATCACCATGGGTTCCGCAGAAGAATTCCAGACGGCGCAGATCAACCGCTCGATCCGCACAATCAAAGCAGAGCTCGAGTACCTATGTGATGCCTCAGTACTCACGCCGCAAGCGCTCAACGACCTCCTCAGCCGCATCCCCGCTCAGACAGCGCTGCATGCGCCGATATCAGTCGGCGCTGTACCCTCCGCGGTGAACGCACCCACGTTACCACCGACGGCTGCTCTTAACAACGTTTCTCTGAACGAGCAGCGCAACGGTGAAAGCAACCCAATTGGCCACTACAACGAGAAGTCCGATTTCTACCAGCCCAGCGCAACGTCGCAGCCCCCACCCGCTTACAACACACCACCTCCGGCAGCCAACTGGCCGCCACTCGCCCAAGCGACAGCGCTATACGCCTACACGTCCGCAGACGCGGGTGATCTGGAGCTGCAACCAAACGATCATGTCACCGTAACCGAATACATGAACGCCGAATGGTGGAAGGGTCGCTCTACTCGCACCGGGCTGGAGGGCATCTTCCCGCGTAGTTACGTAAAGGTCATTGAAGAAAAGGGCCCGCCTCAACCGAGCAGCACTTCCAACAACTATGGGAATATGCCTCTAGAAGTCAGTGGACAAGGGAATGGCGAGGGTAAAGTACCGGGCAAGGCCGAACAACAGGGCAAGAAGTTTGGTGAGTGGTCATGGTGTAATGTCGCCAGGTTGATGCTAACGTCGCTGCAGGCAAGAAGCTGGGTAATGCTGCCATCTTCGGAGCTGGTGCGACAATTGGAGGGAACATTGTCAACAGTATCTTCTAAGCGAGTCTCTATTCATGTGTACCTATTCATAGCATTGCGTGGGAGTTGGATTGTGGGGCCTAGCATTTGTGGCTTACGAGAGACTGACCGCGCTCAGATAGCGCTAAATGGGATAGATTGGTTGCGAGGTGTTAGCAGCGACAAGTCGTGCGAACAGAGCATATTGAAATCAGGCATTCAAAGCAGTATCACATGCCATTGGAGGCAAACGGTCCCCATTTTGGTGGGAGCTCATCCAACCGACCGTCTTCCAAGCCCTTGGAGCCGATTTCTGCCAGATTGGCCACGATCAGGCAGTCCACCAGATCACTCCATGTAAACAAGGAGCCAGGCGATCCATGCAGAAATAGTCGTGATCATCACCCACATTTACGTGTCTGCGAGGTGGCTGTCACTGGGTCTTGGCGATGTTGCACCCGTTTGCACCTCCTTCCATCTTCCGCGAAGCCAGTCACTGCACAATCTTCACTTCACACTTTGACATCTCAATCATGGCCGATAAGCAGAATGCAACATTTCGAAATGTCTCATTGCCTCAGACCCCAGCAGGAAGCCGTTGGAACGTCAGTGTCAATAATGGCCTGTTCCAAAAAGTTACAGAAGCCGGACCTGAAGACGACCAGGTCCCGAATTCCATCGATGGACACGGCGCTCTCTTAGCACCCTCACTGTGCCATCCGCATGTTCACATAGACAAAGCATATCTGCTGTCTCACCCGCGATACGCCCATCTCCGGATCGATAAGGGTGATTTCCAAGAAGCCATGTCACTGACTGGAGAAGCCAAGTCCCTTTTTGAGCACGAGGATCTGATGCAGCGTGGTCGGAGAGTCATCGACGAGAGTATTGCAGCCGGTGTCACGTGTATGCGAGCTTTTGTAGAGCTTGATGCTGGTGTAATGATGAAATGTCTTGACGCCGGCATTGCCCTGAAGGAGAGCGCTGCTCGTGAATGCTCGTTGCAAATCTGTGCGTTTGCTCAGCTACCACTCTTCTCGCCTTCCCCAGGAGATGAGGATGGAAGCATCATTCGAGACTTGATGAGACAGGCTGCCAGAAATGGTGCGATCGAAGCCATTGGTAGCACACCGTACGTGGAAGCCAACGTAAACGCCATGAAACGCAACATCGAATGGCTTATCGATCTGAGCATGGTAAGTGCACCGGATTGTGAGAGGCATCAAGCGTGTATATGGAGTTAGCTTCTCAACGCTCAAGGCACATGCTGATCTACACACTTCACTTACAGGAGTTCGATCTACATCTAGACTTCCATCTTGATTACAACATGGACCCCACAAGTGAGCCCCTAGTCTGGTATGTGATCGAAGCATTGGTGTATAAGAGTTGGAAAGAAAGGACTTTTGAGAAGACCATAGTTTTGGGACACTGCACAAGATTGACACTATTCGATTCGGAAGAATGGGAACGCCTATCGAAGACCATTGCGGAGGCCGAGCTTCCACTATCTTTCGTTGGTTTACCAACCAGCGATCTTTTCATGATGCGAACGGGGCAACAGCCTGAAGTCCGAGGCACCCTTGACGTTCCGAGACTCATCGAGAAGTACGATTTGAATGCCTGTATTGGCATCAACAACATCGGCAATGCGTTTACACCGCAAGGGACCTGCGACCCGCTCAGTCTCGCTTGTCAGGGCGTTGGTATTTACCAAGCAGGAACCGAAAGAGATGCGGAGGTTCTGTACCAKTGTGTTAGTACTCGAGCAAAAGCAGCCATTGGGTTTGGCCGTGTGAACCCTGGAGACGTCAGTCTTGATATCAAAGAGGGTGAGGCAGCAGACTTTGTTGTCATTGGAAATCTGGCGTCTGAAGATTCTCGAGACGAGTGGAAGATTAGCAAGACCGTCAGTGAGGCGGTGTACCTACATGACCAGGGACGCGGCAGAAGAGCCGTTTTCAGCGGAAATAAGAGCCCTCCGACTTGAATGTTCCTTGTGCATGGCTGATATGGGACGTCTCTGCAAGAATCGCACAGGTAGTCACAGCCTACAGATCAACGAACAGCTACAAGACAGCTGAAGTCGTGTTACTGTCGAATAAAACGTGTAAGCCTTGCTTCCATCTCCAAGGAATACTAGAGCCCGCGTACCTGGGACAATGATAATATCCAGAAGGACAGCAGCATCCGCTGCGGGATGCGGGATGTGGTCCATCTCGGATAATGCCGATGTGGGGATGTGAGTGAATGACCCTTCCCGCAGTGGACACGCAAACGACAGGTCGCGATCGAATCGAATTCTTCTTCCCCTTCCTCAAGAAGACTGCCCTCTTTCCAACGCCCACCTCCACGGCACAAATTGCGAAGTCCAGAAATCACGGCACTTTGAAAAGCGCGCGGCTACAAACGAGAGCTCTCYGTTTGTCTCCCAACCATCAACAAGGTGCCCCGCGACCAACATTCTTGCTCGTCCTCACCAGCGCATGTCGCTATCATGCCCTTCTTTGTCTTGGGTCAGTACCTGCCGCTAATGACCCGGATTTCTCAATGACTGACCGTTCTACCCCTAGAATATGATAGCTACGGCAACGTTGTTGGTGGACATATGGTTGAAGAAGAGCAAGACCCGCTGCTTGCCACATCCAACAATGGACTGCTACCCAACCCTCTTTACGAACCACCGCCCCACGTTCCGAAGCCACCCAAGCAGCACCATTCTTCACCCAATCCGCTATTCCTTCCCTCCTACCCCAAACCTCATTTTGGCCCGATCCACCAAGTGCCTGAGCGGATCCCGTCTCCAATCCAAACCAAGAGCGGCGCATTCCTCGACAGTTTCATAAAACACTTTGTTAACGACGCCCAAACCATGGCAACTTTTGAGGCTCTGTTCACAAACTACAACATGAGGGTCATAGAAGAGACAGACTTCTACGTCGGCATATTCATGTTGCTCTCGCGCACGAAGTCGTGGGGTCTCTTGCCAGCACTGGTGGAAGTTTTGCCGGTTTCTTGGCAAGCTCAAGATCTGACTTGGTTGCATCAAGCAGCAGAAGTCTTGTATCAAGACAGGGTCACATCCAAATCCTCATCATTGAATCTCGTCGAGAGCATTCCGTCGAGCACGTTCGAAACTGATGTACCGGACCCCGAGGAGCGCATCTCTCCAGATACTGGTGAGGACGCTTCATCGGACACTGATGAGCGACCAGTTACGCYCGCAGACGAGATCCTACCAGCTACAAAGCGGAAGAAGAGGTCTCCAGCTAATGGCTTCCGCACATCCTATGCATCTGCCACTGCCGACTCGCCACCAATGTTTGTCGACCCGACAGTGCTCTCGATCCACAACCTGGCAGTTGAGAAGATGTACGATTCGGACGAAACTACGATACAGGACGAACACATCGTGACAAAGGGAGTGGTCAAGCTCAAGTTCAAGTCCTCCCGTAAAAAACCTGCCGGTGAAGCTACAGGCCCACGCCGTATCTCGAAGAAGACTCCCCCGATGGGTACCAAGGCGAAGAGATCCTCACTTCGGCAGATGACGGATGCGGACGAAAATTTCGATGAGCACGTTTCATCTGACAAGCCAGTGGAGATCACGAAATGTAAGTTCGGCAAGCTCGAAGCTACATGTGTATCAGGCAGCAGTGCGCAAGTATGAAGTTGCTCCCGAGAAGGATCACTGACACTCCTCTACAGCGCACACCTACCACGATCCAGCTTCCGAGACTCTACTCTCGCGCAAAGGTCGCAGTCGCTACGGTGACTTGCTCGCCGCTGATGTCAAACACTTTGGTCATTTCCCAACTCGCCGCGCCGTCATTGCTCGTGCCTCGCGACCGTACGTGCACCTTTCGTGTGGCAAAGGTTTCGGTCACCCTATGGATGTGAAGCATCACCACTTTACCAGAGAGCGTGGCAAGAGCGGCACTGGCTGCCCGGGCAAAGACGGCGTCCCGCAAGGAGAGGACGACAAGTGGGATGCGCATCCAAGCGCCCGTGTCGAGTATCCTGATCTCAACTACACTAAAGTCAAAGATGGCTACGTCCTTCTGGACCAGGAAAGCCGTGATAAGCTCGACAACGCGATCGCTGCTGGGCTAGAATATCTTGCCGATCGAAAGAAAGGTGGCAGTGCTAGCTTGGTTGACGGGGACCATCAGATGGAGATGGAGGACGAGACAGAGGTTGAGACGACAGAAATGACTGCTGACACCGAGATGGAAGCAGACCAGTCCTCTGTCAGGGCTGCAACACTTGGTCTACGGAAGCGGTCCACCAAAGCCGCCTTTTACGGAGCCTGATGCACATAAATGGCGATGATGTCTGAGACCACTGTTGAACCGTTTGGCAGTGATGAGACCCGACTTCAGCTATGAGTTCATCGTTCAACAGTAGCTAGATCGTCTGCCTTCAAGACGAGAGCATGCTCAGCATGAAGTGGAGCGGTGTGAAGTTGAACGCTCACAGCACAGAATTGAGGGCCAACGGTCAGCTCTTGCTTGATGTGGTATGGACGCGGACGACCATGTTCATCTGAACTGTGGCATGAGGTCTTATTTTGTTATCTGTTGCCCTCAGCAAGACGAGTCATCACAAATATAAAGGAGAAGTAACCGTTGTTTCCATGCGCGCGATAGGCATGTTCATCGCGTTAGAGGACATCTTTGAATCCTGAGTTGACTGAAAATTTCGAGCAGAGTCTGTACTGATGCAATATACATATTGCTGCACCAAGTCAATGTTGGGCTCTGTAAGACTTCACGGTACTGCGGCATTGTAGTGATGCCCTTAAAAGCGCTCCCGCGTGAAGGGAGCGCCGTCTGCTTGTAATAAGGCGTGTACGTGTTCGTCTTGAACAGCAGGCAGCTGATCCCCGGCGTTTATGTCCAACAAGAGTTGTTGAGGCATCGGCGAGCAAGAAGAAGAAGAAGAAGAGGAGGAAATGGTAGAGTTGCAGTATTGAAGTCAAGTGAAGTGGGGCTTTACCTTTTCCAATCCCAAGCAAGCGCAAACCTTGAAAAGTCCCGACTGCACCACAACACACTTGTACAAGAATGGTGTCTCGTCTGCGCGAGAAGCCATGGCACACTCATCTAACTATTGACCTCTTCGCCCGAGTGCTCTCGAGAAGCATATTTCATCCCTTCATCGCCTGGCTCATTCCCTTATGCCTACGCGCCGTCTCAGCACCATACGAAAGCGTCCAGTTCATCGCAGCGAGCTTGTATGCCTCCGTCGTTACGCTAGCATGGATGCTCAGCGTGATCAACAAACGCATAGCATACGGCTTGCCGCGGGAAGTGGATTGGAATGACGAAGTTGTTGTGATCACAGGAGGAGCARGCGGGCTCGGAAGGATCATTGCAGAGACATACAGTATGAGAGGCGTCAGCGTGGCTGTCCTGGATGTTGTATCACCTCGAGAAGAAATTGAAGGACAGGCGAAGATACAGCATTACATCTGTGATGTGGGAGATGTCACAGCGGTGGAGCGAGTCGCGAAACAAATAGAAAAAGACGTATGCCAAAATCTTCTCAAATGCACACATGTCCACCCGACTAATCTCATTTCCAGCTTGGTCCACCAACTATCCTCATCAACAATGCTGGTATCGTGAACGGTAAGACTATGTGGGATCTCACCACGAAAGACATCCAACGAAACTTCCACGTCAATCTCATCTCGCACTTCAACACCATCCGGACCTTTCTCCCGAGCTTGCTGGCCTCCGAGACAGGAGGGACAATCGTCACGGTCGCTTCAGTACTTGGAAAGCTAGGCGCCGGTAATCTCACTGACTACAGCGCCTCGAAAGCTGGACTCATCGCCATGCATACCTCATTACGCGCGGAACTTTCATCTGCATCTGCTCCAGAGGGTGCCGAGAACATTCGCATGGTCCTTGTGACTCCCGGTCAGCTGTCTACGCAGCTATTTGCAGCTCTTGACACGCCTACGAACTTTTTCGGCCCTGTGGTCGAGACGGTGGAGTTGGCGAGGGAGATTGTGAGAATGGTGGACGCCGGCGAGAGCGGTGAGATCAGTATGCCTCTCTACACGCGCTGGGTAGAGTGGAATTCGATTCTTCCAGCCAGCGTTCAGAAGCTCTTGCGGATGATCAGCGGCATAGATCAAGCAATGGGCAAAGCAGTGAGTAAAAAGGTGTAGAAGAGAAGACTATATTTCAATCTGGTCATGGAACGTTTACCAAACATGACGCAGACGTTGACAAAGAGTCGTCGTAATGTTGTGATCATAAAGCATCCTCATCTTTCACCGCACTATGCACAAGTGGGCAAAAACCATGATCGGTCCGGTCCTCTGTGCAAATGCAATCGCTCCATCTTAGAGCATCATCGCTCCATCTGTAAAACATCATCGCTCCATTGGCAGAGCGCCATTGTGCCCTTTGAAAATCCCATCAAAACTCCATCGCTCTATAATGCCCTTGCTCCTTGAACGCCGTCGCGCCTTTGATAAACCGCCGTCGCTCGTTTCTTGGTGATGTAAAACAGACCACTCCTGGGACGAGCTCCATCGCTGTCGATGTTGTGCGGATTTCTCCTGAGGCAAAGCTCCTTCCTTCCTTGAATTAACGCCGTCRCTAATTCCAATGTCCCCAGACGTGCTCCAACTGCTCAAAAAACGGGTAGCACTTCGCCGCTACGCATCCAGTGTTCGTATGCCATCTTGAGAATGGCACCTAGTCGAGCCTCCTGCGCCGTTCCATCCTGGTAGGGTTCCTGGCGCTTGCTCACGCTTGGAAAGACCCATGCAGTGCCCTCTGCAGGCACCTTAAGCTGGTGCAGCTCGAGTGGCTTACCTGCCAGCATCTGCGCGTGGAGCAGCTCTCCTGGAGTTGGTGCAGCCCGTTGAACTGGCGGCAGGATCTTCTCTGGTGCACGTGGCTTGGGAGTCTGATCTGCGGCCTCAACAGGGTTTTTGTGCTGCTTTGGAACAGCTGGTTGACGCTCCACTTTCTTCGATGGCGATAGCTCCCCAGGGACTTCGTCGAAGACGTTCTTTCGTAGTTCCACATCCTCGTCAACCTCCATCTCGTCTTCACTGTCGTCGTCATACACTCTGAAGGTGCCTGAGGGGTCACCTGGACGGTTATGTGGTATGTAGACCAGGTCGTCGATCTTGACGCGCTTAGTGCGATGACGGGCGACCATTTCTCGAAGCTCCTCGTCTTTCTCCAGACTCTGCACGTGGTCCTTCATCTGATTGTAGTGGTTGAGTTTGGCCAGCCGGCTATCGGCATTTGGCTCACGCGGCATGGCTGGTCGTACCCAGGCTCGAGGGCGGCCGGGCGTATTGTTGGCTTGATCGCGTTTGCTGCGGACTGAGGATATGGGGCGATGTCTGCTTGGGGTAGGCTCTGCATTGCGCGCTGCGGCGCGAACCGTGGCTGCGGAGTTTTCGGTGCGCTCGGATATGGCTCGAAGGGAGCTGGGATGGTTGCGATTCAGGGTGGATGGACCGCGGGGTGTCTTGGATCGCGTGGGCGTGGCGTTGACGAGTGTGATGTCGGGCTTTGGAGCTTGTTCTGGCTTCGATTGAGGCTCCTGTGGCTCAGAATCGTGCTCAGGCTCCATCTCCAGTGCAGGCCGCTTGCGGGATGCGGGCAGCATACCTAGTGGCTGTTGTGGGGTGGGTGTGGATGGCGCGGGGGTGTGATGTTGCAGGCCAAGTGCGGCGCCGAATGGCGAAGAAAGGAAGCCAAACGCGCGACGGAGCAAGTTCGGGCGTGGTGTGAACTCGACCGGGACAGTGACGGTGGCTGGGCTGGAATGTTCCGCGACAGCAGGGGAGAGGGATCGCGGCGGGGAGCGTTGCGGGCGGGGAGGAGATGCGCGCAAAGTCAGGTGCTGGCGCAGGAGGGTGTTCTGGTTGGTTGCGACCGGGCGGTCGCGCACTCTCTCCTCTTCCTCACTCGCCAGTGAGGGAGCCACGCTCCCCTCGCGCGAGGCAATGCGCTTACTGCGCCGTGGTGGTTGCTCTCTGATGCGAGCCATTGTTGTTGTGGTGGTGGTGGTGGCTGCAGTGGTAAGGTGTTTGTTTGAGAAGGAAGAACCCAACATGGAGTGTAGAAAGACGCGATGCGATCAGAATAATCTTGCACGGACCAGCAGTTCATTGTGATTTTTTGCGGGAGCTAACCTCGCGTGGCGCGCTAACGATTCCGCCGATCCAAACAAGGCATATGCATTCCTAGAACTCATTGTAACTTTCGACAATAGCAATCATCATCATGCATTGAGAGTCCCGCAGCTACGCACTGCACTCGTGTCTTGAGTTGAGTTATCGAAGGGTAGCCCAAGCCCACGACCATCTGTATACTCTCATGTCTAATCTTGCGTCTCTGGGATATTGAGCATATGCCATGCTGCTGTATAAACTGTGGAGCATTTGAGAATACATTGTTTCACAGAGAGCGGCTTCGAGCTCAGTGATCTCCAAGCCATCTCGGCTCGCGTAAATAGATTTGCCAGAGGAGTTTATCCACATGAATGCTACCCTCAAGGACACCTCTGGAACCTCTGATTTCGCAGGGCTTAGTGGCAACCTTTGAGACCCCTGATAAATCGCATCTTGAGCGACAGTCACTCAATGAGTAGCGGGTGGAATAGTGATATATCAGTTGCGATAGCTTTTCGACGCTCCTACGGCTCTCGAAATCTCGGTCAGCCACGCCAAAAGGACTGGACACAAAGGTACAGAGTAGGTTGATGTTCCAGATCGAAACCATTCGCGTTGAAATGATACACTCGCCATGCTCAGTATATTTGCATTGTGTGTGCCCTCGAAACTTGAGAGCATAGCTGACTACCAGGCGCAGCTGCGGGAACCCCTACATCTCAATCGAGTAATCCAAAGAAACGGCATTGGGTAAAAGAAGATTAAGTCGCTGAACAAGAGAACAAAGCCCATTGTCTCCCAAGAGTTCCGCGAACCATGCCCAGCGGGCAGTCGTTTGGGCCATGAAATGAAACTCGGTTTACAGGAGACGTATCGCTCATGCATTCGGGTAGACTTCCAAAGGTCCCAGACCCTGTGGTGTTCCAAGAACCTCCTCGTATAGATTCTTCCACCACTCCACGCCTGCTCGGTCTTGTTCAAACCTCCTGAAACCAGAAATTTGCGTCGCATTGTTTCCGAAAGGATCCGCGCCGTGAAGTGTGTTCAAACTCTTCAGAATCGTGTTACCACTGGCATGAGATGAATTTTGTCTCTGGAAGCTCGTGAGCCAGCTAATAAACAGCTTTGACGTCTCCGGTCGCGGTGTGCCTTCGATGATGGCGCCCGTTTGCGCCCAGCTCATGTACTGCTCGGGCGCCTCTGGAACCTTGGTGCCCACCCATTCTTGACCGTTCGAATACGATGTGAAGGAGAGGGCACGGCTGGAGGTGGAGTTGTGGAGTGCGTTCAGCAGCAGCATTGGTGAACCTGTGCCACGAACCCACTGGACGTCGTTCTGGGCGAGATCGTAGAGCCATTGGTAACCATAACGGTCGACGATCAGAGAGAACAGGTACGCAACAGCATCGTCATCATTCGGATAAGTGACAATGAGTTTGCCCTTGAACATGGGGTCTGTAAGGGAGGCGTAGGATCTAGGGACGGAAGACGCGTTGATCTTGGTGGAATCGTAGACGAAAGTGCCAAAGCTATCTATGCATAAGAAAATGTTAGGAATGAGACTTCAGGGCGGGAACCATGATGTGGGGTGATGACTGACTGATCCCAGTAGGGACGTATGCTCCTTCAAAGTCCTTCTCGCTTCCGAGGATATCTTCGAAGTTGGCTGGCTTGTACTTCACTAGCTTGCCCTCTGCTTTCCAACGAGGAAAATCTTGGAGAGTCTGAAGATTGGCGATATCAGCAACGTGCAGTCCCTGAAGGTGAGCCCGATCGATGCGATTGTTGTGGTATTTGGAGAGGTCAACAGTCAGATTGAGCGGGAGGTCGGGAAACCGGGCAGCCCACGCCGCTCTCGTCCCGTCTCCCTGGCTGCCAGCTACGGGAAATAGTCAGMATCGCACGAGTTACTGTCAGTGTTAGCTGGCTTACCATCGCCTCCCCAGAACACTTGTAAAGGGCCACTTTCCTGCTTTGCGGCAGCGTAGATCTGGTCAAGAGACCTGGACTCAACCTCCACAACGTCTGAGTAATGTGGCAAAGCATGAGCGAGGCTGGCAGATGATGCCACGACGCCCAGAAGCCTGCAGATACCGGAACTCTTCATATCGATTGCTGCCCACTTAGATGTATGGAGGTGAGAGGAAAGCAAGGGGAAAGACAGCCAGGACCAACCTTTATACAAGATTCGACCGATCTCTGCTTGTACATCACAGATGGGCACCTCGCGTCGTGAAACAGTAGAGCCGCATCACAGTTATGCCGCGCTCCTCCCGGGGACGGATCGGTCGTGATGAACTAGAACAGCTTGAGGTATAGACAGACTGCCTGGTGTCCACCACGGGAGAGTGCCGCAGGGTGCATGATGCCGTCGCTCACTTACTACTAGATGCTCGTCTCGGTGCTCACCAAGCCACCCGACGATTATAATGAATCTTGAGCGAGACTGACGGTTCGACAGCTCATTTTAGCTGTCTGGAACTGCTCCTCGATGTGATAAGCCCTCGAGCCTAGTGAGCATGACATGTGGAGTCTGTGCTTTTATCGTCCTCAGACTGGAACGATCGTCGCAATTTGGAAGTATGCGCAGCACGCAACCATCGTCGTGTTCGAGTTCCGGCGAATTATCGGTACATGAGATGAAGCTAAGAAGAGGCGCAGATCAAGGGCGCGAATCGCCAGGGTGAAAGCCAGATCAAGTGGAAGGCAATGTCATGTGGTTGCAGATATGCTCTGCGCGTGGTGGCATTAGTCGCTGGTGGAGTCATGCACGTGCACGCATGATTGTTGGCGCCTGTATTTCAAAAGCGCACGCCAATCGCAGACAAGCCGCGCAAAAAAAAGCTTGTTGTGCTGGGTGAATGCACTGAATGGTCCAGCTCGGTAACCTAGGTAGCCCTATCCTATCGCCAGCCCGGTCAGCCCTACCCTATAGTCAGCTAGGTCAGCCCTATTCTGTAATTTAGACCCACTGCACCCATGCTCCGCATAGGATCCGAACGCAACGTAGACAAAATTCCAAGGAATTCGCGACGCTTGCAATCAGGAGCAATTGAAATGGCCATTCCTTAGCTGGGCGCGATCGATCCGTGTCGGGGGGCATGTGGATCGAAGGACTGCATGGCACGAGCGTCGATCGAACAAATCTCTGTCAGGTATCTTGGAAGGCGTGAGTGACACGAGCAGCAATGAAAGTAGCACTAGACGCGAAGCTCCACTACCAATGTAGTTTTAGGAACCGCTTTTCTTTTTGGCTCGAAAGGCGATGTCCTCGGGTTCGAAATAACGTACGTCTCGAAGCACCAAGCAATGTTTGGATGGAGGGTAGAGGAGCGACTCCATATATTTCAGGTCCATTGTGTGTTGAAATGGAAGAGTGGATTGGAGAGCTCTACGCAGGATCGGCAGATATCGATTGCTCATCACGACTGCGTGGTTGCCGCCCTCGAGCAGTACACAGTCGACCAGCATCGCTCCAGATGCTCGTGGACGTCCTCTTCAATCGTCGTCGTGAATGGTAATGCCAGCTTCCTCTTGAATAGCCTGCCCATCTTCCTCTTCGGCGGCACCACCATCCGTCTTCGCAGGGGTCTTTGCTGGCGCCCACTTTTTCTTCACAGCCGTTCCGTTCTCCTTGGTGACCTCGCCATCCACATCCATCCCATCAGCGCCGCCAGTCTTCTTTTTCGCCTGCCTCTGCTTTGCCTTTTCGCGCTTCGCCCGGTTCTTGCTGAGTTTCTCTTCGTCCCGACGCTCGCGCTCCTCCTTGCGCTGTTGAAACTCCTTCTCTGCCTCCTCGGCCTTGACCTCTTCGTCCATGGTGCGCAAGCGCTCGTACTCGCGACGTCTGCTGGCTTTGTACACGTGAAATTCTCCGCTACCTGCACCTGCCGAAGAGCCTTGCACGTTGGCAACTACCTCTGGTGGCGCCATCAGCGGCCTCTCGCGCGGTCCCAACGCCACGCCATTGTCGATGCGATCGGGATTCGCGAACAACGCCTCAACTTGCGCCGACTGCTGTGWCGAAGGAGTGAGCGCGCGCTTTTTGGTCGGCCGCTGGGAACGATTCGAGACGGACGTCGGCACCGACTCCGGAATGTTTTCCGACATTTTTGGAGATGGAGGGTGATGTGATGCCGCTGGGTGACAAAGGATGATAAAGTGAAGGGTTTAAGGTTGGACGCTGGCCGATTACGCTTCAGCCAGAAAAGTGAGCAAACTCCGGAATGGTGATGGTGATGGTGATCCCACCTGCACCCGTTGTGCTCGAGATTTGAGAATTTTGAGAATTTGCGATGGACATGAATCCTCGATGTAGAGGACAGAACCAGGACAGTACAGTTACAGCAGAGGCGCCAGGCAGGCGTGCTTTGCTTTACCTTACCTTCTCTCCGATCCCTGGATAAGGTATTGAAGGTACGGTAACCTTAGACTCCGCCATTTCCCGGCCGTGCACCCTCCCTCAAGGCTCACGCAGGAGATGCGCCCGCCAAGCTGCGTCATTTCACTGACTCTCCGAAAGTATCTCTGCCCAAGCCGGTTTACATCAGAGACACAGACCGCAGGCTAACCAGGCCATCGTCTCTTGTTGCGTGCGTGTTGGGTCGTGGAAGGCATTCATAGGTGCGATCGCAATGCATATGGCTATGCCAATCGTGTGGAGAAACCTGCCGTGATGATGAGCGGCCGAGGGGGCACGCCAGGCAGCCCAGGGTTTGATCAGGTTTCGAAGAGCCTGGCCTGGACTTGGACMTTCGATTGAGCCATGCCGTCATCTCTCTTGCTGCCAATACCGCGAGTATAAAGTATGTAGTCTAGTAAGGGAGCGGCATCAATCTTGACATATAACTACAAATCCGCCCTGGAAATTCCCTTCAACCCAACTCTACCCAACAATATTGAATTTGCATGTGCTTGAAGTTCAAGAGAAATCTCTCGCCAAACAGTGAGTGGAGTACCTAACCTAACCCCCTCCCCACCTACCTTATCCATCCATGCAATGGACGTCATCGACTCCATCGACCCCTTCTCCACCCGATCCCACCCTCTCCCACTCCACAACACCAACCTTGAAACTGACCACCATCCCTGAGCAGATCACAAAATGTCGTCTGCCGTCTCCCCCACCACGCCTTCGGGCACATTGCCCACTCGCACCCTCACCGACGAGGCAGTGCCCGACGAGGATAGCAGCGAAGTCAGCAAGCTGTTCCACGAGCGTTTGGATGCATGGAGACATGCATGTGCATACCTCGAGGACTATGTCGAGGCCACGGAGAAGCTGCAGCATTCCACTGCAAAGGACTACGACAAKGTGCTGAAGACGGTGAACAGCCCCTTGAAGGAGGGTCACCACTTTGATCAGTCCCTGGGCGGTGTAGCGGGCTTGTTCGACAACATCCGCACCAACACCCAGGGCATGCAAAACAGCCACAATGAGACTGCCAAGACTCTCAAGGGCTCCGTTCTGCCTATTTTCAGCCGTTTGCACACCGAGATCAAGAACAAGACCAAGGAGCTGAACAAGGGTGTCGGCAAGCAGTCCAAGGTGGTCGACAAGGCTCGAAACGCGTCCCAGAAGCACATTGAGTTGCTAGGCCAGCATACGGCGGCTTCGGAGACCTCGTCCGCAACCATCAAGGCCACGGAAGACCCGTACCTGCTTCAGCGCCAAGTCTACCACCGCCTGAACAAGCAGGTACTCGAGGAAAACAACAACCGCGATGACATGATCTCCATCCAGAACAACTTCTCCCAGTTCGAAACGCACGTCATTCAGACGTTCCAACAAGGAATCGCCCAATTCAACCAAGTCATTGCCGGACAAGCTGAGCAGTCTCGCACCATGTATGGTGATATCGCCGGCAATGCGCAGCGCATGCCAGCCGACTTTGAGTGGAACAACTTTGTGAAGAGACACGCTCATATCCTCATTGACCCCAGCGCTGGCAAGCGCTCTGTCGAGAGCATCGCGTTTGCCAACCAGGACCACAAATCCACTCGCCCGCTCATTGCCGGATCCCTGGAACGCAAGACCGGAATCATGAAGAAGTACGACGCGGGTTTCTATGTGGTCACCCCGGCCAAATACCTCCATGAGTTCAAGACGGACGATGATTTTGCCAAAGACCCAACCCCTGAAAACAGCCTGTACCTTCCAGACTGCATGATTGGCGCCGTAGATGGCGTCAAGTTCAACGTCCGCGGAAAGGATGCCAGCGGAGGCGCCATGGCGACGAAGCTCGCGAGGACTCACGAGTTTGCATTCAAGGCCCACACTCCAGACGATGCAAAGAAATGGCACACGATCATTTCTAGCGTCGCGGGTCAGACTACGCTCGAAAAGCCAGACAGCACCCCGAGCAGCCCGGTTGGAACCACTCCGGTAGCAGCTGCAACACCGGCGGCGCCTGTCGTTCATGTCGAGCCTGGCACCGTGGTTATGACTGACGGGGCCGCGAAGCCGATCTAAGCTTAGCAGGACAAAAGGATGAAGGATGAATGAAAGCAGAGACGAATCCGTTGGACGCACGGTTTTGATTGCAACAATACCCCTAATAATGTGGTCTGTGTTCGCTTCGCTGTGCCGTTCAATACGGGACGGTACAAGTACGGAGGATGGCGAGGTCACGGGCAAATGAGTTCTGATGAGGACGTTTGTTAGGCAAGAACCGGACTATTACGCATTAGATTTATGTGCACAGATATGCACATCTCATAATAACCTTTGCCCCCAGTCTAAAAGAGTTCTCTGTCGGTTCATGATTTTGAATACCACAAATCGGATTCATTCTCAGACTATGTGTTTCAGCGTGCGTACAAGACTAAGGTACCTAGTATGACCACAGCTTCACCATTCAAGATGTTTAGCCAAGTTGCGAGCCCTTTCGGTGAATTGTGCTCTTGAAGACAACTCGGTTCAATCGCAACGCATCTACAACGAAGTTTAGTAGATTTCCGGCGAAGCAACTCCATGGGCCACCCAAGGCCATCGAGGTACGTTACTTACAAAGCCAGGATCGCAGTCTGTAATGCACGCACCAGGCGTCGACGCCACTCTACCACCTTTGTTGCAACATTTTTCGAAGGTGCAGACGCGCTTCTGGTGAAGCTCAGCGGGCTGCATCATAATTGCAGCGAAAGTCATCTCGAGGCCGCCGAGGAGGGCGATGGCGATGGCAAAGAGCTTCATGTTGTTGTTGGTGTTGTTCGAGGTGTGTCGAGGCTACTGAGAGATCGTCAGCTTTCTGCTGTTTGTCAGGCGAAAGATGGAGCAGATGATACTGGATGTTGGCTTTGGAGAATGGTCGTTTGTGGTGAACCTTCTTGGRCAGATGATGATGATGATGGAGTAAGAATTGTCACCACCTACCTGCACGTCAAATATATATGAACCCAGCTGACTTGCCGCCGACGACAGTCTCCATGTCGTTCGACCATTCTAGCACGCGCCCTTTGGCTCAGGGACGGCGGACGTTCGGTCACCGTTTTTGCATAGTATTGCTCAATTTGCTATACAGCATCTTGGTGCATCGGAGTATTGCATGCTCCCACCTTCGAAGTTCAAACCAATGCTTTGCCCCGTACTGTAGATAGTGTGGGTGTAGTGCTACCTCTCCAGAGGGCTAATTCGAAGACCTGTACCTCTTTAACCCGGTACGGCCTCTTCGCGTATCGGAGTGGTAAAAGGGTATGATCCTAGTAGCCTCGACAAGGTCGTGTCGCTAACGGCAATCTCCGGAAGCAGTGCGTAGGAACGGGCAGGTTGTTAGCTGACGTCTTCTAGCGTTTTACCACTCCGATGCGCGAAGGGGCTGTAGAGGTTCAAGGCTGTTGTTCCCCTTCCAAAAAAGGTTGTCAAACCGGGGTTCCGTCGCCTGTATGAAGCCCCTTATAGACAGGTATCCTACAGATATCGGTAGACCTACTTGTTCGCTACGCTAACGGTCTGACCAGGTGGTACTGTGCTAGGAGCTGCTCCGTAAATCCAAATAGTACAAGTCAGAGCCTACGCCGATCCCATAGGATGCTATGGAAGTGTGTACAATCCTACTCGTGTATACGTGAATCGTCCGAGTTTTCCGCCTTGTATTTCATGGTTGTTAGAGGGATTACAAACCTCTTTTTCGCCTTGTGCAAGGAGCATTTGTCCATTCACAAGGCCACAATACAAAGTTTCAGTACGTACAGGGGTAGGAAGCCCGGCGACTAGGTAACCTGTACGCGGGAGAGTCATTCTATCAAAAGACCTTGCCGGTCAATTGATTAGACTTGATCCGGTAGAAGCTGGGTCTGACCGCCAAGGACTTTTGATACGCACCTCCGTATACCGCGAGGCATCAGACCTTCCCGGTAGTTTGGCTGTAGATTGGAAATCTGTTCCGTAGATTTAGAGCGAAGAAACGAGGACTGACCTTGGATGATTTGTACTGCTGCAGAGCATGCCGAACATGCGAACGGTTCTTAGAAAGCCAAACAAGAATGCCCCAACTAGAGTTTAGAGAAGCGTGTGCATCCAGCTCGACCACAGACAGCCTGGTCTGAGTAGCATTGTCTTCCACCCAACTGTCGACACTAGAGGCCGTGGCCTGCAGGTGTCGCTTCTAGGGAGAGCTGCTCCGGCATAATCGAGAATTAGCGAGGCGTGTATCGGCAGTTTGCCGCCAGCAAAGCTCTCAACAAGAGCACGGCATTGTCAAGACGACCTCATCTATGAGACGATCAAGGGCCAGTAAAGACGAAATCCAAGCCAACGGTATTGTCCACCCGAGATGAACGTCGGCTCTTGTGAGGAATCTCCGCGGGTGATCAGTGCCAGCAAACCACATGATACATTACCTCATACCAGTCCGCCAGGCAACCAGGTGGGTTTGAAAACCTCACCTGGCCCGCGCTCTCGGTCTCTAGATGCAGCCCACAGGCAACGGGTCTCATCGGCTGAGAACGCATGCCAGCGCCTCGGCGGGGCAATCAGTTGCTTGGCGCAATTTGTGCGGGAGCACGCAGCTACACACCTATCAAGCCAATCTTCGTAGTATCGGCTAGCCTCTCTTCTAGCTTGGCGTATTCCATACGGGATTCGGGGTGCTTGCATTTGCATGCCCCTTCATCGATTGTCCACTTGGTAGGCGCATGTGTTGATGGCAAATTCTCAAGCATCTCACAAGTTCGTAATGCTCTACTTGGATCTTCCGGTCGCGGTGAGCTGGGAAGGGCTGCAGAGGTGGGGATCATGCTCGGATGCCGTCTCATTGCCCATGCGTCTCCGCCTTCGATGACGACTTCATCTATTGGAATTCTCAAGTGCCATCATAGATATTCTGCGCGGAAAAGAGCTGTCGTTCGGCGACGAATGTGACATTCCCTGAGAAGTCGTCCTCGTACCGCAGTGTCCTCATTGACATTTATGGCCAGGCGAGGCGAGTTTCCGGACAGCGTCGATGCCAGTGGATTCAAGATGGTAGTTTCGTGCCCGATGTGAGTGAGAATGTAGACGAATATACAGTACGAAGTTGTGACAGCGCGACTTCCAGGTCCCACGCGCTTGGATGATGTTCCAACCTGGAAGGCTGAGGTGTTCCCCAAATTTGATCCCGGAACGAGCCGTACGAGCTTCGGAAAACCGGATTGGAGATCGCAGCTCGGACACAGGACAGGAGTCGATCCGATTGACGAGATCTTCAAAGACAAGTGGAGTGGAATGTAACATGTGATAAATCCGAGCAAAACAATTCTGGAGTATGACCGGCTCATAGCAGACATTGTCCGTAGGTATCACCCACCATGGGCGAGGAGGAGGAGAGCAACAATGCACATCCCGGGACTTMGGCCTCGACGCCAAACTCAACGAACGGTGCTGCCAGCGGAGTCAAGACGGCCAAGGACCGCAAATGTCCCTTCTGCGGCCAGGCATTCACATCATCGAGTCTTGGGCGGCATCTGGACCTCTACATCAAGCCGAAAAACCCCAAGCCGCCAGATGGCGTGCACGATGTCGTCGAGATCCGCAAGCTACGGGGCGGCATCACGCGCAGACAACCGCGGACGAGCCTGAGGGGTGCGGGCGGCAGCATCAGCAACAACGATCGGCAGGAGAGTGTCCTGAGCAGCGGTGACACGCCGGAGATGTCGGCGCGGACGTCCACCAGGACGGAATATCGACGCCCAGTTGTGGAGGTGGATGATGATACGCCCACCGCATCGCCGCGGAGCCCTCACAAGAGCCAAGCGCACAGGAGCGGCCTCGGCACTACAATCAACAGCGCCAACTGGCAGGCCACTGGTGTCATCAACAATCTTCCGCCCCGAGAGCCTTCGCGTAACACCACGCGGCCGGAAAGTGCCACGAGCGCGGGCCAGGCACAGCGTGTACACGATATGCGGCATGATGCAGGTGGAAACCGCTTCCAGAGACCCGAATACGAGAGTGAGGGCATGTGGAAGCTGCAGGAAGCTGCAGAGATGGGTCGTGCTGCGGAAATGGCACTGCGCGAGGTGTTGGGCAGTCTGGAGGCGGCACAGAAGGCGGTCACTCCTCAAAGACTGTACGAGGAGTTTGATTACTTCGGCTTGAACTTTCCAGGTCTCACGCTGGCAGTTCTACCTCCCCCCTCCACCCTATTCTCCCCGACGCCGTTTCCCTCTGCGGATTCGTGGACGCTCGAGCCTCCATCTCAGCGACAATTTGAGACCATGGGGCGCCTGTTGAACGAGCGTGTAATTAAACGTCGCAAAACGGAACACGTTGCTGACGCTTTAGCGTTCAAACATCACGCCCACCTCGCTGGCGCCTGGGAGCATTGGCAGGCCATGTCTGACCAAGATCGCGCAACTGCCTGGAACCTGGAGACATTGCGCACCATCAGTCGAGGTCAAGATCAACAGCACCAGCTTCGCTCTCAACTCGAGCGGTCGGAGCAGCGAGTGAGGCATCTCGAGACGGAATTCGACCGGCTCTCACGTTGCCAGCTTCCGCGGGAGTATCTAATGCATCCTCCCAACACGACGCCAATACCGACGAACATCATGAGGGAAGTCAAATCGAGCCAGTTCAAATCCGAAGTGGCGGCAATGGGCTATGACGCCGAAGCGATCCTGGGTAAGTGGAGGAGCAACATCCGCGCCACCACCAGGAAGGCCCACAACGTCTCCACGCAGAGCTCTACAAGTACCTCATCACAGCATTACACAAGGCAAAATCGGCTCACGGATGACATACTGATGAATGGGTCTGTTTGGGGTGTTGGAGGGCCGATGCCGCGGATGCCACCGGGCCAGTCTGACCGGCCGGAGATTCCGAATACAGTCTGCTACGAAACGCCACCAGAACCTGGTGCTGTGGTCGGTGCGGACAACGACGGAAGAAGTCCAGTAGATCTGGATGCCGATGGTGAGGAGGAAGAGATTCCCCCAGGGGCGCGAGGGTACGACGGGTATGACAATGCCCTCGTAAGGAGAGTAGGCGAGGGCCTTCACGGTGGTGCCAATGGGCTGAACTCGAACGGCAAGCGCGCGTTGGACCCGGTGTCGGCGAGCGGCCGGAGTGGTGGAGCGAAGCTCTACAAGGAGCAGCAGCATATCGAAGCCAACGGGCAGCCGGAGTGACAACCCGAGCAAGATGATAATGGACACTAGACATCGACATCCAGGCTTTTTACTACGAGCAAGCTCTCAGCCCATCGAATGTCAAGTACCATCTGTCTGCCTCGCATTTATTCTGTTGCCCATTTCATGTTCTCATCAACCCAAGTCGGTCACTTCTTGCGATTCAGCTTGATGCTCTGCTGCGAGATCCACTCCTTGGCGTTTATCCCCTCCTCATCCTCATCGCCAGCCGTTGGGATTCCATTCCCTTTCAACGTCTTCAAGCGACAGTCATCATTAGGACGAACAAAGTACACGATGCTGTATCTCGGCCACTTTCCTTGCTCACCCGGAGCAGGGGATACTCGATGACGACCAGAGCATAGCACGCCATTGGTGAACTTGACGGCCGCATCTCTACATTGGGTTAGCAGGCATTGAGGTAGCTGTGTTACGGCCTACACACCCAAGATTGATGATTGCACAACCTGGCTTAGGCTTCACCCACAGCCAATTGCCTGCCGAGTCGGCGGTATTCGAATCATCAAAAGACAGACTGGAACAGCTTAGTAACCATGTCAATCAAGCTCACTCGGCTGTCTTACTTTCCAACCTGCCGGTTTGGGGAAGACCAGACTTGCAGACCTCCCAACCAATTCATTAACACAGTAATCGATCCGAAATCCGTGTGTGAAGGAGTCTGGATCTCTGGCATTGCTGCATCTTTCCTGGGAGGACCTCGAGTCATGCGAATGTGGTCGCCTGCCCACTCCTCGAGCTTGTGGCGACTCGAGATCTCTTCCGGGTCTACTCCAAGTTTTTGGGCGAGAATGAGGAGGATTTGAAGGCCGATTGAGTGGGCTGCTTTCGAGTAGTCTGCGAAGAGCTCTTTGTTCTCCAGGACGGGCGATGGCCAGCTGCGGGTCATATTGTCGTTTGGGACTATCATTTCGTTCTTGGAGACACGTCAGTACGGTCTTGTATGGAATAAGGATAAGGAGCATTCACACCTTTGATATGTTGAAGAACTCTGCCGTGTCGGGAGTGGACTTGCTACATCAAGATGGGTATAATCAGTAGGGAACTACGTGTCTTCTCTTTGTAAGACGTACCCTAACAAGCACATTAGCAAATGTCTAGAAGTTGTATGCATCTTTATACGTACTATCCACCTGTGTAAGGCCGACCTTTTTGTACCTTGGAAGCAAGTCAGTGTTGCAGTCTCTGTCCATCTCGGTGGTATGGTAGCGTACCCAAAGAGGTCCTTGCCTGTCAATGAGTATTTCAACTTCTCCTCCACGGGCAGATCAAAGATCTGCTCTGCGACTCTCGCAACATCATCGGCTTTGCGGGATATCACATCGCCACGTGGTTCATCTTGGAGGTCCAAATAAAAGAAGCCCCAGTCTTTGCATGCTTCGAACATACGGTCTTGCTCGGTCACATCGCCGTCTTGAATCTTTTGGAGAGAAATTGTCTCGAGGGAAATGGTTGGAAATTCGTCATTCACTGGGAAAGGAGGGTAGACATTGGGTGTGAACTCCGAGGCGGTTTCTTTGTGAGGCATGACGATTTGTTGGTTTGTAGTGTTGAGATGAAGGTGGTAAAAGAGAGGAGAAAATGAGAAGCGAGATTTAGGTCGCAGATCTGACTGYTATAATGGGTTTGTCACCTCAAGAATAGCTAGCTACCTACTACCTATGATGTGGCAGATGATCTGGGGCGGTACTTTCAATCGTTCCGCTTGCTGCTGTACATGTACCTCTCGTCCTCTCATGCATGGGAACGAGTGCGGAGCATTTCCGAAGAATTCGCGCGGAAATCATGACGTCGAGTTCCGCCTTTGGAGCATGACATCCATGGGTGCGAACAGCAACCACGGCCAGGCAAGCTTGAAGCAGGCAGTTCGAGAATGGGAAGGTAGGTGGTACCTTAGATGTTTTTAGCCGCCCTTAGTCATGTCAACTACAAGGCAATAGATAGCGCTCTTTTCGGAACCTCCGTGTTGCCGTCGCCTTAGCAGTTATTTAATACGGCTAGTCTACCTCTTTTACTAAGTATTAAGCGGTTATAGCCGTATCGTATTACTATCGTATCGCTATCTAGTATATAGCGTAAATTAACGTGTTTTTTTATCGTCGGAGGAGCTAGAGGTATAGATTCGAGTAATAAGAATAATATTACGCTACTTTATCTTAATAAGGCTATAGTAAAGCCGCTACGTCGTCGCTATTACGCTCCGCTACCGTATTAGTAGAGGGGGTAGTCGATAGCGGACTAGCTAGACGAGTAGTTAGTAGAGTATATACGGTAGGTTATTAGTATTAGTATAAGGGATTAAGAAGCTCTAAAAGCTACCTTACTATTACCGCTTACTAACTATCGATAGCTTTATACGAGATAAAATTAACTAACTAGTTAATGCCTTTAGTATTTAGTTAATCGAATATAGAGCTCGTATTAAGCTAGATCTAGTAATAGCTCTATATATTATCCTTTACCGTATATACTTCCCTAGTAAATAGAACTCTATAACGAGAGATCTAGGCTTCTTAGGACCTTAGCTATCTATTACCTTTACGGATACTATATAGTATCTTATATTACGATATAAGAAGCTCCTTAACTAGCATCTACGGCTATAAAGCTACCGTAACTTAAAGGCCTTCGCTATAGCTACGTATCCTTTTACTACCGGATAGATATAAGGTTTTATCGATAGCTACTTTTAAGGATTCTATAAGCTTAGGAATAGATAGCGGAGCGTTTATTTAGGCTATTACGGAGGCTATAGATTAAAGTAGTAGGCTATAGTTATACTAGATAGAATTATCTTAAGCCTTAACGGCCCTTACCTTAGTACGGCGAACGATTAGTATATATTCTAATACTCTAGTATACGGAGGCGATTAAGGAGGATTATAATACGCTATAATAGGCCTAACCGTCGATTACTATATATAAGGGAGTTATAGATAGGGATAGATATATATACTAAATAGTAAGTTTATAGAGTTAATATTACTTAGAGAGCGGAGGGCTCTCGAGGTAGGGCTCTATATAGGAGCCTTCCGGCCTAATTCGGGCCTATATAGGCTTAGCGTCTTAGCCGAGCCCTTAAGTCTACGAACCGGCGGTATAGTTCCCTAACATTATCCCCCCCCCCCGGGATAGCCTATCCCTAGCGCTATTATTTAACTCGTTAGTAGATAGATGCTTAATCCGTAATTATATACGAGTACGCACGTATAAGGCTATTATAGGCCTAAATTAGGCCTCTATAACTTATGTTTTACTCGTAACGTATAGCGTAGCGGCTATACGAGGTAAACTTTCGCTATAGCCTCTATATTCGCTAATAAAACTTAAGCTTACTACCCTTATTTACTATTATCTAATTAACAACCTTTATCCTTAAATACTCGGTTTATCCTTCCCCTTACTACTAGCTAGTAAGTACTACCCTAATTCGGGTGTAAATTATTACTAATTATTAGTAGTATCGTCTATTAATCCGTATAGCTAAGGCCTTATAAGTACCGAACCTTTCGGAGCCGGCGTACCCGGTAGCGGTAGCGACGATCGTTATTCTCCGGGTCCGTAGAAGAGCGCGTTCGGTAATAAGAAAGGCGGTAGTATTAAATTAAAGAAGAAAGGTAAGAAAGCCTAACGCTTCGTCGACGCCGCTAGTCGCTTTATTTCGTAGGCTATTTATTCTACTTAGTAGGCTACGAACCGACCTAGTTCGACTCCGAATCGGCCCTTCGTTAGCCCTCTTTTAGAGGTGTTCCCTTCTAGTCGTCGGTCTCTATTACCCGATATTTCGATAGAGGATATAGTAGGTCCTCCTACGGCGCCTCGATTTTAGTATAAGCGTAATTTCTTACCGTAGTACGAGATACCTTCGCCTAGTTCGGGAGATATCTTCCGCGACTATATCTCTAACGGTAGCGTAGTAGCTCGGCCCCGATCCTCTACTAGATTAGGCCCGTTTTAGCCTCCTAGTCTTTACTCGAGCCCTCTATACGGGGGTTATATAGCGACGTATAGCGCGAATACCTCTAGTCGCGTCGAGCCTACCTCCGCTTATTCCGGTTTCCTAGGCGTTCCTTAGCCTACTAGTCGGGTATCTTATATACTATTATTAAGTAAGTAGTCGCTTTTTCGGGCCTAATTCTAGCCTATAAGCTAACTCTTTTAGGCTCCCTAATTAACTTAGATCCTAACGTTATATTAGAGTATAGCGTATTATCCGACGTCGAGATAACCGTCTCGGATAGGCCTATCGTCTAAGTACGTCGCCTACCTATACCTACTTAGCCTCGGCCTCGTACTCGCGAGCTATCCTATATAGAGTATCTACGCCGAAGCGGGCCTATAATATAGTATTTAAAGGCTAATAAATAGCTATCTTTTTAGGCGGATCCTTACGATATAACTAATAACTCGGATCGGAAGTATCCTATTTATACGAAGGCTAGGTTACCGTATATAAACGTAGGTCTAACTCTTCCCCGTTTTAGGCCTATCGCTAACTTTCTTAGGTGCCTAAGGAGGCCTTCCGCGCTATAAATATCGCCTACTACCTCCGCTATCGTACGGCGAGCTTATAGCGCCGGAGCGCTATTACTACTCGTACCGCGCTAGGCGAGTAAACTCTAACTATCGACTCTTTAGACGGTATAGGTAGGCTATACCCGGACGTAGTCCTTCTACGCTAGTATATCGAGGAGTAGCGTACCTACTATAGTCGTCTATATAAGCGTATCGTCGAGTTACTAAAGCGAGTATACGAGTTCGGATATATATTAGGTCCGATTTAGCCCTAATCGAGCTAATATTCCTAGCTTTAACCCTAAGAACCGTACTACTTATTAGAAAGTGCAGTTATAGAATAGCTATACATCTAATATAATAGAGAGCTAAGTAGCTACAAGGTTATATAACTCTATATAGGGTAAAATCTCTTCTTAGGAGATAGAGACACATCTCTAGATAATTAACAAAATTAACACATTAGTTCCTACTTTTAAGTACTGCCTATCGGAGATAGTAAGCTAGTTAAAGATTAAGATACTCTTTTACTCCACCC